TTGGAAATGCTGCTGAATTCATGCTCATTTTTATTTCAGCTATGATTGTTTGAGATTATTTTTTCAAATCAAATAATAATTTAACTGCAGTGAGACCTCAAGATGTGGACGGGATTGGTGCTTGGACTATTTCCCTATGCATCAGAATGTCTGCATGTTGAATCACATTTTCCCATAGACTTCAATGTGAACTTCAGTAGTTCATAAAAAAAATCACAGTGCTCCCCCAAAAAATTAAATAAAATGTGCTTCTCAGCAGAATATAACTGTGCGGAAGAAAACCATACAGCATCTGATCTTTTGAAATCAAAAGGTCCCCATCAAAGAGCGAAGCAATACTGGTAGTCTTATTGGTATACTTTGCACATGTGATGGAGAATACTGCCAAAGAAAGCTGCAAAAATTTCACCAATTTTTATTATGAATATGTAGAGTAGTTTTATTATGAATTTATTTTTTCATTTTTCTGAATACAAATGGCTCAATTTGTTCAAAAGATATCAAAACTCAGAAAAATCTATTTTTTAATTTTATGAGAATATTGGAAAAGTGTTCGTATGTCAAGGCTTTGTCTGGATGTTAGGCAAGTTTTTCCAAGTTCAAAGTGTTCCTGAGTCAAATCATCCACATGTCATGGTTGCACTGTAATTGAAGCTTCAACCAGACCAAATGACAAAGGTTTGACCCTCCAGAAGTGCTTTGCAAGATGAAGACATCAAATCAATTTACATTTTATGCTCATGCTCTGTGTAATTGGCTATGAGGAAATGACCAGAATTGTTACCTTTGAATGGCAACAGGTTGATTTCCATTGTGAGGCACAGTCAAGATATTTTTGCAGGCTCGCGCTTTCTTGTTTGACCAAAGGTCACACAATAAATGCAGCCTTTGCTGAATGGCTGAAGTCCGGAAAAACCCCTAAATATGTAAACCTATTGTTATTTGAACCCCCACAATACTAATCGTATAGCAGGAATATACTGGGGAAAATGCCACCCAGCAGTGTGAATAATTTTTTCAGCAACAAGTTTAAACGAAATTGGGATTTTTTCGCATTATTTGCTTGCTGAAATGACCTAACCGAGACTTTTCAAAATTGTATTCCTGATGGTGCTGCATGGCACCAAATTTCGAGAATATCTCTTGGCTCCGCCGATGAGGAGGGGTTGATAGAATGACGGCCCAAATAAATCTCCCTCGCCTCCTTTTGCTTTGTCTCGCAGCCCCCGGACGAGGGTGGTGGTGGTGGAACCCCGGGCCTGCTGATGATCGATCCCTGCGGGGTGGCCGGGTCCGAGAGGCGCCTGTCTTCACACGAGCTGCGGTTCCAGGAGTCGCTGCAGCGGCTGGACGTGCCAGAGTGGTTCCGCAAGAACGAGAGGAAGAACTCGGCCGACGGGTTCCTGCTTGGCCGGCGGCGGACGGAGCCGTCGGGCTGGGAGGCGGCCAAGTCGGCCGCCACTTCCGTCGCCTCCTCGCTCCAGTCTTCCAGGGCCGCGTCGCCCACCCGCACCAACTCCACGCGCTCTCGCCGCAGCTGCAGGTAGGATTTTTGGTACATTTTAAAATTGCATATCAATTACACCATTCACGGGACATGACGAAACAATTTTTATACTGTACTATAATGAATAATTTATTGTGCAGTGATACAAGATTTTCAAGTTTAAGCCATGTGCAGCAAAGTTTCGATTTTTTTTTGCAAATTTGTATTGCCATTATGTGCACTGAAAATGAAAACGTCATACTTTTATATTACGACCTTAGTCATCAGGAAAAATTCCAATATTTTTTTATAATCCTGAAGAGAATTTTGCCTGAGAAACTAGAAAAAAAGATACTCAATGGATGGAATATTTTTCCATCAATCCCAAAATGAAATTAGCATTGGATATTTCTCAACACAACAAGATATGTATTCTCCACCAGGAATTTCCCCAAATTAGACCTTCCCAACCCAGGGGCATTTTATTAACCTTGAATAAAACTGAAATGCAGCTCGTCCCTTGGGGGAAATCCCAACTTATTGGTTGTACAAATGAAAGGATCCCTCTGCTGTCAAAGGGCTGATGACTGGAGGCAATTTTCACGTCATACCTGCCTATGATTAGTTATATCTTGCTTTTCTGGCAATCAAATGTTTTTGTTGTTCTTTAAAAAATTGAGTGATGTTCTGATTTTTTTTAAGCTTCAATCATGCATTCCAGCAGTTTCACCAATCTCTTAATTCTGGGAAGATGATGGGAAATTATTTTTTTGGAATGATTATGTGTGAAACCATTTGGAAGCATGTTTTTCATTAAATTCAGCTTCCATCCATGCAATGAGAAGCATTTGGGATTGCAAATTTTAGTCTTTGCCTGCCTTAGTCAGGAAATTTCTACCCTGAGAATTTATTGACCCTGGAATGGCATAGGGTTCCTTTCCATTGCGCAGCTAAGTTGGGATTGGGGGGGGGGGGGACAGCACATTTCAGTTCCACCAAAGGTCAGTGAAATTCTCTCTGGTTTATAGAAGGTGTATGTTTGGAAAAATCCAGGAGGCAAACTTTTGGTTTTTTCAGGAATCTCCTATGGAAATCCTATGCAAGGAATGGGAACAGCCTAGGGAGGGATTTTTTTCATTCAAAATTTTCTGCAGGATTAGAAAAAAATATCAGACTTTTTCCTGCCTTGGTAAATAAGTAGGATATTTTCAATTTCTAGTGCTCAGTACAAACGTTTACAAAACTATCTCAACCTTGCTGCTCATGGGTTAAATATTCCTCAAAAAAGAAACTTTGTTATGCTGGAATTGGGAAGGTATGATAAAGTGATTGTTTCAACATTCACTCTATGCTGTGGGCTTTCTACGAGGACTTGAGAAAATGTTCACTACACGAAAAATATGTTGCAACAGTATTTCTTATTGTAATAATATTTTACTGCATACCGTATTTGTTTCAGACAAGAAACTAAGTAGCACTAGCTAACAAAAACCGGAGCTCCAAGTTCATCTACGCTGGCTAGGTGTCGCTGCATCACCAGTCGAGCAAACTCTTAATTGAGCCGAAAACCCCACGTTCAAGCAAATGTATTTCACCGGGGTCGTAGAAAAATGTTAGGATATTGAAAATCCATTTCGCCGTTTATCTTCAGATCAGTACATTATTTTAACTCTAAAATAATTTGATGCAACAAAAAATCCAGCTTTCAAAAAATGTTTGCACAATTATTCGAGTTATCGAGTATTATTCGACTGTAACCTCTTGCTTCTTTATTTTGTCATCGTTCAGTAAGAATGACCCCATAAAAATTTTAATTTTCGCTGAAAGAAGGGGTTGAAAGCATGCTAACTCCATGTTTTATCCACTATGTTCTCTTTCACTCTCTTGTAACATTTGGAAAAGTCATTCTTGATGAAGTTTTATATTCCCTGAATATCAAGAAAGTGGCTCAGTTGAAGGAGGAGAGGTTTCTTCTCAATGCTGAACAAGGAATAATATTGAAACCCGTGGAAAGACTGGGTTCGGGTACTTCGGAGGCATGCATTTTTCTGGAAATGGATGAACGATCAGGGATTTATCCCGACCTGAATATTTTTATACAATGTCAACTTAGTCATGCGCATATTTTTCATATTTGAGCGGATGGTTGATTACAAATACAATAAAAATAATGATAATGCACTGTCTAAATATGTGTTGCTTATGCAGGAGCGGAGACTCACCTTTGACCTTTCAAGAGAAGTCCCCATATTTATACAGTACAGAGCACAAAATGATACGAATTTGAACAGAGGAATGGGGCATAACCCAGATTACATGCAAATACGGGCTCCACCTGCCATTATTCGCTGTATTATTCCTAGTATACGATGTAAAATTTAGCATTCCCAGAATCCCTGGGCGTGTCAAGTTCTAACGTATTTTATTATTTTTTCTATGTTATTGACACAGATGATGATATCACCTTTTGCGGATCTTATATGCGACTGTCCAATTTCTTGAGAAGATTCTTCCTTGACTTTAAAAGGCGACAGAATCGACTGTGCAGAGAAATTCAAGAGTATTGTATTTCGGTCACTGCTGAACCTTAGTGGCATTCTTGGAACCCGAAACATGTGCGAATTAATGATGGGAAAGGCCTCACTATTTGTGAAACAGCTGAGCACCATACGTATACTATGTACAGTAATCGTTGAATTTGACTCTCAAAAAAAAAGTGTGCTTGAAGAACAAAGCAAAATTGAATCGATTATCTATAAGGGTAGGTTTTTTTTCTATTTGATGAAGTTTAACTTAGGTGACCTGTATCATGCAATGAAAATTAGAATCCCAGGCTTCAGGCATCATCATTTATCATTAATTATTATTAATTGATTATTATCAATTAATTGGGCACTGCCACACGGATAAAGCTGGGACTTAGGACAGCAGGAAATGGCTGAATAAGAGTCCTTCTCAAAACAAGATTTCATTCTTCAGATTTATAATGTACAGTAATTATAAAGAAATACTCATCAGGTAAACGCTGTCTTTGAAATACTTTTTATGTGTATGTGTGATTTATTTGTGTATGAAGGCTGGAATTCAATGACTTTCTATCAATTTTGGGGCTTGAAAAAAAAACAAAACTTTTTGTAACCTCTTTGTCCCAGGCTGATTCTTGTGTTTTACTCAAATAAAGAATCATAAGGAATAATCAATGACAAGGAATAGTAATTTTCCAGTTCCTGTCTAATGTAGGTGGTGTCTTGCAATTCACTATTCCGCAATTTGACCATTCTACAATTGAATCATCAAATGTTCTGGAACATCAACTTGCAATTTGACATCTTGCTGCGCAAGTTGACCTGCAGCAGAGAGACGGAAAATTTTCAATTTGATGTAGAAAACATTGGATTTGACATTGTCTCACAATTTGACTGCTTTGCAATTCAATCCTTGCACAGCAATGGATTGGGGTCAAATTGCAGGGCACCATCTACTTGTATAGCATTTGTGTGTTACAACAATTCTTAAGCAGCTTATTACTGCCCCCAAAAGTTGTCATTGTACAGTATAACAACATTTTAATGTATTTATTATCAATCATTTGCCTTGGAGGAACCTCTCCCTAACATTATCAGAAGGTTAAGAGATTTAGACTGCTGTTTCAGTTTCAAAGAATAATGGAAAACATTTTTACACTGATTTAATTTACAACTTCATGGTACTTATTGCCAATCATCTTGCCTAGGAATGAATATAAGACCTGCTCCAGAATACTGAAAAGTAATAAAATGAAGGACGGTCTAAACTTATTTTTCCCTTATCAAAAGTTATTGTGTGTAATTTCTGAATTCACACTCTGTAAGATATATGATAATATTGTAACCCAGAAACCAAATTGCAATTATTTTCTTTTCTCCTCATTTGGAAGGAGATCCTTCTCTACAAGGTATTTGTTTCCTTGCAGCTGTTCCCCTTTTGTTTTGGTTCCCCCTCTCTCACGTCAGCCCGCATTAATGCGTGATGGTTGTTATTGCGCATTTCTCCTTTTCAACTTGCTATTTGTCAACAGTGACAAACAACCTTCACTGCCTTCTTCTAAACTGCCAATTTAGAAGAAGCCTATTCTGTTGAATTTGCGAGTGTATATATGTTATTTATATTTATAATATATACCCGGATATATATATTCATCAAGTGTGTTCAAGGAACCCACAGTTCCTCAATCTAGGCAAATATTCCGCCTCTATATTTTATGTTTCCAGGAAGGTATAAATATACCTTCCTTCCCACATATTTCTCCAGAATTAATCTAGAGTCATTCGCGGTTATTTCTCAGAGAGACTTGCTGAATGTTTTAGTGAGACTCTCTTAAAAGCTCTCTACTTTTATGTTTGTGTGATTGTACGAATATATTGTGAATTGAATATATTTGAAAGTATATATTTTTATTGGACTTATTGTATATTTTTTTCACCTTGGTCTACGGACAACAAGTACCACAGTGAAATCTGTTATCCTGGAAAAAGGGGAGGAAATACTTTTCCTCTAATTTCCACTAAATTCCAATTCCACTCTTTCTGTGAATGATGGGAGTGGTTACTGTTCCAGTTGAAGCTTTTGGCCTTCACTATAGATTAATAATCTACAGTGTGCCCCTCCCTTTGCTGCATAGCCTTCATCTAGGATAGATGCAATGATACTTCATTGTATTTTTTGTGTCCTATATTATGTCCAGTAATTCATCAGTTCCACCTTGGAGTCAGGAATTGGGAACATAGGTGTGCCCTCTTCCAGATTTCCTCTTTCCCTATTTATATAATTGTAGTGGAGAAGACACATGGATAAATTGGTTTACTGGATCAAGAGTTTCTCACTTGTGTTCTCTAAATTATAGCATGAGTAAAATCTTTACCTACATTTCACAAATAAAAACACATATATACAAATGTATGCAATTGTTAAATTATTATTTCTTAAGAGACACTTGAATATTAAAAGGAAAATACACTTGACCAATTGGCTTCTAGAATCATGAGTTTGTGGCTTTTGTTGTCTGAAAAATATTGCATGATTTTTGAATATACAGTATATGTGTTTGAACAGACCCTCTTCCCCTATAGCATAAATACTTTGTAATACAAAATAAAATACATCATCAGTTATTAAAAACATTCTTTGAGCACAAAGCCTGCCTGCTATGGGATGGGTTTCTCATAGTTTGCAATGCCCAACACCTTCCTAACCTTACAATACCTGAGAAAACAATAAAGTTCAAAACACATTCAATATCACATAACAGTCACACAATTAGTTTGAAGTTTGAAGAATTTTGCTTGGTATTCTTTTTGAAATGGTTCAACTCAAACTTTTACATTAGATATTTAATCATTTCTTAAGGTAATCTTTCATATTTGATACATGTCAGTAGCTTTATTCAGCTCAGGAGCGGGAGCAGAATTTCAGCCATAATAACTGTGATAACTGGTCAAAGTATGCATTCAAATTTACAGAAAAATGGCAACTTTTAGTAGGACAACAAACATGTACTATTTAAGCAATTTAATCAAGTACTACAAGCATAATATTGTTTTCAGAGCACTTCTTGTGCTTGAAAATCAGCCAAGAAGACAAGTTCCTCTTACTGGAAGGGATCAATGATTTTTGTTCATGAAGGAAATTGAAGAATGGAACATGAGAAAATGACACTGTAGAAAATAACCTGAAAATTGAATAATTTGAAAAGTAGCTCAAACAGCACATTTTCCATATGAAAAAATAAGAAGGAAAAAACCTTGGGAAGATTCCTTGGACTGTTCCATTTCTGCAGGGTTTTCAGGGCCTTCATATCCTTCCCTTGCTTGGGTTCCATACTGAAGGTTAGGCCCTGAAGCCTGTTCATCACTAGTCTGCTGAGCACTATTAGGCATTGGTTGCTGAGGAGCAGCTGCTGGAAGTGGTGCAGGCAGTGGTCTTTCTAACCTTGGCTTATGATGAAACCTTCCAAATGGTCTACCACTGTTCACCCTGTCAGTCAATAAAAACCAAGAAAAGGAGCAAATTAGGAACAACAGGCTTCAACAAGGCCCCCTTCTCCCTATTATGCTGTATGTCAATGACAATAAATATTGCATACAATTTTCAATGATAATTTTCCAGAAGAAAGGTATATACATATTTCAAACAATTAAAAAAGTGCAATTGTGCAAAAGGCAATGGAATTTTTCCATCCTGGTTTGAAGTTCATAATTTAAAAATGCACTAACCAGGTTAATTGAAAGCTCATGGAATGGTTTATTCATGCCAGATTATATTGAAATTCCCTCTGATAATTCTGGGCTCATTCCATTTATTATATACTGTGTACTCAATATAAAGTGGAGTAAACTGATGAATAAACAAGCTTTATTAGCTGCTTGTCAGCGTTCTCAAGGTTTAAAAAATTGGTTTATCATACAAAATAATCCAAATCATCCAAACTCCCAACTATAAGGCAGTAATCAAAGTGGAAATACATCAGCACTCATGCCCTAATGAAAATATTTGCTTTATGTATAGCACTTATTTAATCATTAATACAGTATAAAATTATTTTTATTTTTTGTAACACTCATCCTGGTGGTCAAATAATTTTCCATGATAATTGAAACTTTCAGAATGATAATTCATGTGAATGTGAATCAGATGTTCTCCTCTTTACCATAAATTAAAACAAAATGAAGGTGAATTTGAAAAAGAAAACAAACCTTGGTCTTGCAGCATAAGATGTCCGCCTGTCCATGCTGAGAGCACTGCCACCACACAGACTCCCTGAGGAAACCTGTTGATAATGTGGAACAGCCTGCTGCTGCTGCTGTTTCTGCATTGGCTGATATTCATCAGTAGACACAGACTCAGTCAATCTATGTCTATCTGGAAGTCGCATAGAGTTTCCTTGTGGCTTCTGCTGCTGCTGCTGTTGAGGCTCCATCTGCCGGGGTTCAGCAGCAAACGCATCCACAGGCAGATTCCCTCGCTGCTGCTGTGGTTGGTCCATGTACTGCTTTGGGGGTGCCAGTGCTGAAGGTTCTTGTTGTACCAATGCTGATGGTGATGCTGGTTGCTGCTGGGCAGACTGCGAGGACATCTGGCGGTTGCCCAGGGCAGTGCCACTGCCAGCAGCAGCAAATGGGCTCCAGCTGGGTTTCAGCGAGAATTGTTGTGGCATTGGCTGGTGGGGATCTGCTGGGAGGAAACTGGTGTTGGTGAGGACTTGGGCTGTTAAAAACCACGGGTTTCATTTGCGATTATACTTGATGGACACCATTTCATCCCTGTGATGTACAGAGTACAGTATATGAATATAGTGATGAGGGTGATGCTGGGGGCGCCATCTATACGCGGGAAACGGTTTTTTGTCTACGGTGTTGTGAACCACAAAAGCCCAGAATAGTATAAAAGGATAAGTGCTGTTTTGTTTCTTGTTCATTATACTTCTTTCATATATGGATTTTTACACTTTTCTGATTGTCTGTCAAATTTGTTTTGGATACACATTTTTATTTGTTAAAAATGAAATTTTCACCCACCCATCAAAAAGATGCAGCAAAATGATATGTTTAATGCTGTACTAATCAAAATATTTCAGACTCTGAACTTTTTTTTTATTAAGTTCACTTTTCTGCTGAGGAATAAGGTGATGGAATTTAAAAAAAAAACACAAAATTATAAGCATTGGAAGATGAGAGTTTTTTTAATTCAGAAATTTCTTGCATTTAATTATTTTTGTAAAAGAGAGATCAGAGACATTGCTGAGGATGCAGACAAAAATGAAATTAAATCCTCCTCCTAAATCTTAATGTGTTATTCATCTTTCCCAGGAAATTTTCTCCTTTTTGCTTGCTCTTTAAATGTATACTGTATGATGGAAAGGGGTGCAGAACTTGTGTATAAAGCTATTTTACTGAATGTTTGAGTTGGAAATCGCGACAAGAAAGTGAAGGAATGTTAGCAAAAGACTAATGCAAATAAAATGGCAAAAAAAGGAATTTGGAGCTCTCAAGGGTTGGTGTAAAGAAACCCGCCTATATTTCCCACATTCCCCATAATCATAAATATGCATAATAAACTGAGGGGAAAATTTCCTCCCTCTCTTTAAACGCGACGGATTTTATACTTTTTGTACGTTTCCCCCAAAAGATGACCCAGGCAAAACCTCAGCCCTACATAGAACCCCATTTAAGGCACTGCTTCATATATACTAAAATAAGGCCCTATATTATCTCAAGGTGACACAGAAATTCCAAGAGTTACATTTTGCGCTGACATTTGAAATATTTTTGATATATTTATATTACATGAAATGATCTTTAAAGTACCTGGATTAAAGCTCATTTTGGAATTTGAAACTGTCTTTCCAAATTTAGGGGGAATCTATTTTTTTTACCTACCAATAATGCATCAAAACAATTTTTTTCAAAGCTATCAAAAATCATAAAATTTAATTTTCAATAGTCTTAAATGATAAAAATTCATGGATATTGATAAGTGTGTGCTGAAAATCACTTGGGTGTCTAAAACTATAAATATAATAGGATTAAAAATGGAAAATATTAAAAAAAGTTATTTTATTGGAATGTAAAATGTGTGGCCCAGCCCTAGTATCAATTCCACTTTATTGCCTGCTTATAAAATACAGGAGGACTTTCTTTACTACAATAGTCTTGAGACTTGAAATAATTCACTGAACAGAGGAGTATGTTCTATTGGAGCTGATTTTACCTAGATACATAGGGTCAGCATTATAGGGACAAGACTAAAATACACTTGAAATCTATGAACCCTGGTGAAATATCCAACCAAGGGCCTTTTAGAAAAAATAATACATTTGAACCTGCCTCATTCTTTAAGGGAACAAAATACACAGTCAATCTTTAATACAGTGCCTCCATCTTTCCCTTGACCATTGCAAAATAAGACAAAAAACTTAGGGTGGCACTGAATTAGATATTGGAGCATTAATATTGTAATAATAGTAAATAAATGTTCTTTAAACATTAATAATGTCTTATATGCTGCATGAAATGATACATTTTGTGAATGAATATCTTCTTTCCTAATTGTATCAAAAAGCTGTATTCATATTTTAAAATTATGCTGAATTGAATTTTTGACACTTCTTGCTGCTAGAATTGGCTGCAGAAATTTGTGCTCAGAACATTCTTATAGCTTTAGGCATTGCAAAAATATTTTCCAAAAGCTTGCATTGTACACCAGAAATCAAACACAGATTAATGAATTTTAAAAGTTTGAAGGCAAATTGATGAATGAACAAAATTTGAAGGCAATTTAAAATTAACCCAATTTAAAGGCAAATAATATGAATTGACTAAATTTGAAGGCAATCTAAAAATCCATCAAATTTCAAGGCAATTAATCAATTGACCCAATTTAATGAATTTTCTTTGTTTCATTTGGGGGAAACTGGTGTCTTAGATCACTTAGATTTTTAAAAAAGAAACCAGCAGGAACATGAGCATGCTGATGACAAGATTCATATTAAATTGACACTCCACAAGACATTATTGTTGGGATTAAATTGGGGGTTTCTTGATGAGAACATAAATATAGGCAAGCTTTTGTCCAGATGGATTTTTCTGTGCCAATATAAATCCGGTGGTCAACTGCTCATTACAATATTTTTGCTTAGAAGAAGGCCATGGATATTTTATTCGCAACCCTGCCGCATCCCTGAGACCCTGACTAATAATAATGATGATAATAATAATAATAATAGTAATAATGATAACCCAGATGGATCTTTATCGTCTCGAGTTGAAAATAATAGGGTCGTATAGTTGATCAAGGTGTGGGCCTACCAGCTGCATTGGCCTGGTCTACATAGGGCTGCGGCGGCGGCTCTTGCATGGCAGCAGGCAGCAACGTGGACACTTCGCGCGTCAACGTCAGGGCCAGCTGTGGGCCAGATCCCACGCCAGGCGGCAGGATCTTGTTCAGTGGGTCCAGCTCCAGCTGTTGGTACATATTCTGCTGCTGCTGCTGCAGAGGCGGCGATCCGTACTGGTCGTGATTGGCACTGCGGCGCCGCTGGAGCATGCGGCTGTGCAGAGGCGCCTGCATCTGCTGGTGCTGCTGAGAGGCGCCCTGCTGCGAAGACATGGACTGTTGCTGTTGTTGGGGTGGTTGTTGCTGGGGTTGTTGTTGTTGGGCGCCGCCGGACGGGGACAGGGTCGGCGAGACGACGCTGAAGCCGCCGTGGGAGGAGTTTTTGGCGCCGGTGGCGAGCATGCAGCCGTGGCGGATGTGGAGGATCATTTCCAGGGACAGGTCGAATTCTTTGCGGAAGTCCATGACGACGTAGGCGCCACCTTTGGCCCGGAGGCAGAAGTTCTGGTGCTCACTGCGTGAATGTGAGATGAGGGGAAAAGAGGAAAAAAATTGGCATCAAGTTCATGATGATGATGATGATTATTATTATCATTTTTTACTGCTGTTATTAATTTCACAAGAAAAAATATATAATCCATCAAAGGAAAAGCTGGAATTATTGGCCAGCAGCTGGCCCAAGAGTAAAATAATACAGTCACTTCAAATACTAAACCTTTAAATCAACTCCTGTGCAAATAAGTGACTTGAAAAAATGTCACTCTTGTGCTGTATGAGTTTGAAGTTCAGAGAAAAATAATTTGCAGATTATTCATGCAAACTTGATGGAATTTCTTTTAAAAAAAAAAGGCTGTAGGTATATGAATTTTCTTAAAATACTCTTGACGCAATTATTTCTAGAAAATGCACAGGATTGACATACTCTTATCCATGCAATTTGGAAAACCCAACAAAAATATCCCATACACACAGTATGATCTTTACAAATGGAAAAAATAAAACTCCATGGAAGGACTGAAGCATATACTGTATGTGTTTGAAGTTCACACAAAGAATATGCAAAATTAATTATGCAAACTTTATGGAATTTTTAAAAAGGGCTTCAAGTATGGATTTTCTGAAAAAAAGCTGTTATACAAGTTATACTAGTATTTCAAAGTATTAAACTTTCATGGGATTTTTTGGAAATACTCATACATTCAATTTGGCAAATCCAATAAAATATACCAAACTGTATGATATTCACCAACTTGAAAAAAAAACAATATTTCCTATATTAGGAATTCTTGATACAATATGTCAAGTGAAGATTTAAAATAAAACATCATTGAAAACATTAATTCTTTTTCTCAGGAAATTGATTTGAAACTTACTGTGTAGAAATGGGAGGCAAAATTGAGGACTCTCAGCAAAAGACAACTCTGAAACCTTGAACCTTGGGTTACTTTTTTTTTTACCCCAAAATTGAATTCAGAATTATTTTCCTAAAATTTAGCCTTGAATTATTCTCCTCAAAATTTTAACCCTGAATTTCTCTCCTCAACAATTAACCTTGAATTATTATTCTCCTCAAAATTTCACCTTGAATTATTCTCCACAAAAGTTAACATTTTTGAATTATTCTCCTCAACAATTAACCTTGAATTATTCTCTTCAAAATTTCACCTTGAATTATTCTCCTCAAAAGTTAACATTATTGAATTATTCTCCTCAACAATTAACCTTGAATTATTCTCCTCAACAATGAACCTTGAGTTATTATTCTCTTCAAAATTTCACCTTGAATTATTCTCCACAAAAGTTAACATTATTGAATTATTCTCCTCAACAATTAACCTTGAATTATTCTCCTCAGCAATTAACCTTGAATTATTAATCTCCTCAAAATTTTACCTTGAATTATTCTTCTCAACAATTAACCTTGAATTATTCTTCTCAAAGTTAAAGCTTAAATTATTTACTGCAGAATGGAACCTTGAATTATTTAATACAGAATTGAACCCTGCATTATTATCTTCACAAAATCTCATCATCTTCATCTAAATATATAAAGGGTCGTAAAACATAAAAAAAATTTTATTTACTAAAAAAAATGACGAAAGCCACGAATGAATGTACAGTATGCTGAAAAATAACGAGGATGACTCACGTGACGACGGTCCACTCAGAGTTGATGGCCACAGCAGACTGGGCCGGGATGCCCTCGTGGCCAAAGAACGTGGGCTGGTAGGGGTTCATGACCACTTCATTGCCGGCAAAGTTCTTGTACTGGAACAGGGACAAGTGCTCGTCCTTTTTCCAGTTGGTCAGAGAGCCGACCCGACGCACGGAGGACGCCTTGGACGATGACCGCCCCAGGTTCACTGTCTTGTCCATGCCGACTATGTAGTGGATGGGGTCTGAGGGCCCAAAGCGCTTGTCATTGTACAGCACCCAACTGTTGAGGCGAGAAAAAAAAATTATTGATTGATTAATTCACTGTGTTGTCTCAAGTTTGTGAGAATGTTACAGACATGATCCTCCAACTGATAATCAGGTGATTTAATTTGATTTTAGAGTTTGAAGATTGTACAGCAACCAACTGTTGGAGTAAAAAAAATTGATTGATTGATTGTGTTATCTCAAATTTGTGAAAATATTAAACTTGATATTCTTCAATTGAGAACCAGTTGATTTACTTTTATCATAGAGTTTGAAGATTGTACAGTACCCAACTATTGGGGTAAAAAAAATGATTGATTGATTGACTGTGTGCTGATCTCAAATTTGTGAGAATATTACAGACATGATCCTTCAATTGATAATCAGCTGATTTAATTTGATCATAGAGTTTGAAGATTGTACAGTACCCAACTGTTGGAGTAAAAAATTATTTATTGATTGTGTTGTCTCAAATTTGTGAGAATATTACAGACATGATCCTTCAACTGATAATCAGCTGATTTAATTTGATCATAGAGTTTGAAGATTGTACAGTACCCAAATTTTGGGGAGAAAAATAATTGATTGACTGTGGTGTCTCAAACTTGTGAAAATATTAAACTTGATATTTTTCAATTGCTAACCAGTTTATTTTCTTTTATCATAGAGTTTTAAGATTGTACAGCAACCAACTGTTGGAGTAAAAAGAAATTTATTTATTGATTGTGTTGTCTCAAATTTGTGAGAATATTGTCACGGGTCAAACAGATGTCACCCGCTGACACGCCGTTTCACTTGAGACAACTAGATGTTGCCCAAGTGGAAATGGTAAAACAGTGGTACTATAGAGTATGACGCAGCATACAAAACGCCACATCGTTGTCATGTTTGAAATTAAAAACATATTCTTCTAGAAGATCATTATGAAACAAAATTAAAAACAAGATTCCAAGGAAATCTACCAAAAGACCAGCCTTGGAGATATTGATCTCCAGGGCTTATTCAACTGGTGAATCATTCCTGTGATCAAAAGAATAATCAGGAATTCTGTGTGCAAAAGGAATTAGTCACACATCAGTGGAAAGCCTTGGACAAACTTTCCACTGATGAGGACCTGAACCTCATCATAACCACATCAAGAAGCAGTCAGAAGCAATTCAACCTCAACTGAGAAAGGAGCTATTTTTGTGTGCTGAATTATTACTGAACTTTGAACATTTGCTGAACTTAAAAACCTACATTGAGGTATTTACCTCAGGCCGCAAATGGCCAATTGTGTTTACAACTTTCTTTCACTTCATCCAACAAGTGAACATAGAATCTTTGCCAGAGAGGCTCAATAACCCCTGAAAAATATTACAGACATGATCCTACAATCTATAATCAGCCGATTTACTTTGATCATTGAGTTTGAAGATTGTACAGCACCCAATTCTTGCTTGACAGTTCATACATTCTCAAAACTCCTTTCTAGCTCATGAACATTACATTTTCTCTCAAACATGTGCCTGTGACACATGTGCTACAAATTCAGTAGATCAAAATTCAAAAAATCCAGATTTATTGCAATCCCATCCAGTAAGTGAGAAAAATATATTCGTCTTTTTCTGTCACAAACATTTTTGTCAAGATCGCAATTCTTGGAAAATAATTCCATCCAAAATAAAATGTGCTTTTCAGCCTCATGGAACACGCGTGGGAATCCATTTAATCGAAAATGAAAAAAAATATATACGTAGACTTATTTCAGTTCCGAGCAATAGATTAAAATAATTTTCCCACCATGAATAAAAGGGCCACAGAAATAAACAGTCCCCGGCAACAAAAAAAAAAAAGAAAAGAAGAGGCATTGACAGACCGCCTACACATAAGGCCACTCAAAAGGATTGTTGTCAAACGACTTTTCAAAATTTCGTTACAATATGATACTTATTGTCAGACAAGTAACATTCCTCAGAGAAAAAATAAACAATTTCCTCCCTAAATTAAAAAAAAAATACTGACACATACCAACGTGGGACACGAGTCAATTCAGTTCATCAAAATTCATAAAAATATAAAAGTATTCCAGTCCCAATTACAGTAATGCATTAGATCATTTCCCGCCAGAAAATTTCATGCCACGAAGTTCAAACAATAACTTCTCACAATGGTACTTGCTAGAAGATAATTCCATCTACAGTGCCACATAATCCCCTGCGGCTGTTGATGAAAATGGCGGAATTGCCTTGGAAGATCTGGAGGCAACCCTTTAGAATTAAAGCCACGTTGATTTCAAGAATTCTGAGGGCAAAGCTGGGCTACAACAACAAAAACAACAAAATCTGCAGGAAGAGCGCCTCATCTTTTGAGTGGAGAGCAAAACTCTGATAGGGAGAAGTTTGCAAAACATTAAAACAATAATTTTCAAACAGGACTGATCTTTTTTTGTGGGCCAAAGAATAGAACAGCACAGAACACTTCATTTGCCGCTTTTCAGCATTCACAAGGTTCAATCAAGATTTCCACAACCAAACTCCCTTCCCACCCAACCCAAATCCACTCAATGACATTTAATCACTTCAGAGCAGGAAACAGAGCGCAAATTGATAAACAAAAATAAAATAAAATACAATCCATGAAATACAACTGGACATCTGATATGTATGCATACACCCATTCATTTCCTGACATTGAAAACAAAACATATGTTAAAATTAATTTAAAGCACACGGTCTTCAGCTTGTTTCTGTATGAGGTTTAGTTGAATGAACAAATTAGAGAGAATCTTTCATGAGAAATCAAATAAGGCCAAAAGTTTATCTTGATCCTTTAAGATTTCAGAAAGGCTCTCTTCATTGAATTCCAATACTTGTAAATCTTTCTTAAGCTTGTTTCTATCAGTATGAAATGCTGGATATAAGAAGAGAAGGTGCTCTGATGATGCACAAACTAATGTATTTATGCTGCCAAAGAATATGTTTTCCCTAAAGAATAAATTTTTTCAGCTCAATTGTATCTGTATGACATCTTTTGAATTATTGCACAAACTTTTGTCAAGACCCTCGCATAAACAGGTTAAAGCAGTCCTCACAAGAACAGCAAAAGCACCTCTTAAAGGTTCCCTCAAAGACCAGTGAAGGTTAATTATTCTGCTTAACCTCATCACCTTCTCAAATGAGATGAATTATCTTGCTCTAGACCAATAAGGAGCACAATAAACTTGTATCCATTATTATTACTGGTGGCAGTGCTGGTGGGATTGCTAGTGTTGATCATGGCTGGAGGCTGTATGTTGTTAGCCTCCAGACAGGTCAGTTTCCCAGCCCGAGAGAGGGCAGCCACATCCGGACATTGCAGGCCTGACCACAGGAAGGCCCAGAGGGATTTCTTCAGGTATACAGGGTTTGACATATGAGTAATGGTAATATTTGGGGCGGGTTGCTTGAAATAAATAAACTAAAAATAAATCACTCACAAGCCGTCAATCCGGGCACTCTGGGCCTTGTTGTCGAAGCTGGTGCCAGCGGGGATGCCCGTGCAGCCCGGCTTGGAGCGGTCGCCCAGGTCCTCGCACGAGTCCGTGAGGAGGACGGCCTGGCCCTTGCCGTCGGCGCCCGAGTAGAGCGCGATGCGCTGCGCCTGGCCCGACGCGAGCTTCCCGGCCTCGGGCCACAGGGCCAGCACCAGGACGCAGAGCGCTGCCCAGCTCGACCGCTGACGCATCCCTGCTCCAGGGCCCCCGGCTCCTTCGACTCCTACCGACATGGAATGCTCTCCAGGCTAACTGTGGTTTTTTCTCTCTCTCTATCTAATATATATATCTAATTTTCTGAACAAGGAAAAAAAGCAAGGCATGAAATCTCTTGTTCAGTGAATAAAAAAAAAGAGAAAAAACCTCATTACAACATAATAGTCACCATTGCTACATACATGGAACCTGAATGGGAGACATCTCCACTAAAAAAATATGCCTGCACAGAAATTCAAATATCCAATTGGTGCCAAATATACACAGGGTGAGCAAAAAAAGGGAACTGATTTTTGAATCAAACTTGCATGGTATAGCAAAGTGAGCTGTGGCAATTAAAAAAGCACCAAATGGAAGCTTGTTGAATTGCTGTATATATTCACTCATTACAGCATATAGTCACGATTGTTATACATGGAACCTGAATGGGAGACATCTCCATAAAAAAAAGGAAGGGGAAAAAATTCAAATATACACAGGGTGGGTAAAAAAAAGGAACTGATTTTTTACTCAAAATTGCATGGTATAGCAAAGTGAGCTGTGGCAATGGAAAAAGCACCAAATGGAGGCTTGTTCAATTTATTTTCTAAATGTGGTATAGTGGAATTAATTTCTATTACTGTACAATCTTGATTTTTAAGTGGGCCCCCTCACTACAGCCACCAGTGGTTGTGAAAATCTCTCCCCCCCCCCCACCACAACTGTCAACTTGCACTGCAACCCTTAGTGCCAGCCAGTGCCCACCCAAAATTTCCAGCAATTCAAAAAGCCCTGTCAAAAAACCTGTTCTTGAAGACTTGTTAAGCAGATTACATGTATATATAGAACACTTTCTTGAGTGGAATCCAAGTTAAAATATCTTTATGGAAGATTTCTGGTCTTTCTTGAACTTTTTGAAACCCCCCTTTACACTGAATGTCAAAAATCTGCAATCACACTTACAAGAGTCAAATTGAGTCAGAAACCTTTTTTTAATGAATTGTTTTCAGCAAGCTTCAACTATTGAAGCTACAGTGCATGGTTTTTGGAGGGAAATCCAGATTTAAAATCTTTATGGAGGATTCCTGATCTTTTTTGAATATGGTTTCATAGAGGGGGTCCAATGCTTTAAAAATGTTTACAAATAATTTTTTCATAGAATTTTCCTTGCATTCAAATGATCCTCAACTATTGAAAATTTCTGGTTGCAACTAAACAGAAGTAATTTTAAAGAGAAATCTCAGGTGATTGAGATAATACTTTCCTACATTTGCAGAGTTTGCACTGACTGCTTCAATGAATAAAATATAATTTTCAGTTGAATTCTACCTTTTTTTTGTGCCTAAAATACAGTATAACCATTGTTGAAATACTTCTACAAGACCTTCTTTTAAATCATCCCAATCACTCTCTCCTTCTCTACTACCTATTGGGTTGCATTCCTATATTGAAAAGGTGCTGATCCTCATGTCATTTTAATCATGTTTTAGCTTTGAATTCCATATTTCAATGCTCAGCAGGTCAATTAAATAAATTTGAGAACTTGATCGATTTTCTGGGGAAACATTTTTTGCTAATGCTGTATTGCTTCAGAAACGTATCAGGAAAACAAAACATTTCTGAATGGCGGCTGAAATTTCACCATTCCTCTGAAATTCCTTCAAGATATAATCACTCTTTTAAAATAATTAGGACGACTACCATTTTAATTACATCGTAATACGGAGAACGAATCCACATATTATTCCCAATAAAACGCACAATTTTCCAGCTGCTTTCTGTTAGAAATGGCAGATACAAATGGGAAACAACCATGAATTCATTATGCAATCATCCCAAAGAAATTATGCTTTCTTCATCCAATAAAATAAATGAACGATGTGAAAAATCTAAAAAGTATTCTGAAAAATAACTCTTTTCAACAACAAAATGGTCGACCTTGGCTAGTTTCTTTTAGAAAATTTCAGTACACTAATATGAGATCAATATGTTTCACTGATCCATCAATCTCCAAAACATTTTTCACTTCATTCCTTGATTTGTCTTTTTTTAAGGGAGAAATAAGTTCCTCTTAATTTTCCTGGCACCAATCTTATAATATTCCACCATCACTTTTCGGGGAATTTTCTATATAATCACACTCCATCCAGATTCGGAAGAATTGAAAACTAAAAACAAATAAAAATCACAGCCACCGGATCAAACAGAAAAAAAGGACGCACGGGATTATGCAAAGAAATTTCTACTTCCCAATCGTCACACCAAATATTTACTTCTTGGAAAATTATTTTCAAACAATGAGCTGCTGATGGGGACTTTCTAATCTCAGATCTGATGAGCAAGCTTCTGACTGGAAAATCCAGAGCTTTTTGTCTTTGGTGAAAAGCTATATATTTGTTCCCATACACAAGTATGTTCTCAGCATGCATGCTGAAAACATACTGGGTGTAACAGTTATGCATAACTGACGCGTTTCTAATGCGTAACTGTTACGCACAGCAATAATGCTTGTAACAAATTATTTGCTGGGTGGGTGCTTCAGGTGGGCCACAGATTTTGAATGTTCTAGTCTTTGCCAGGAAATTGAATCTGAAATCTTCAAGTAAACGTGTCTGTAAAAAAAAATTGTGATTGCAGAATAGTATGATCCTGGAGCTGGAAAAATTGATGCATCACTTTACTTGAAATTACTTCATCTTCTAATTCTCAATTTTTTTTAAAGCAAATTTTCACAAGTGACCATTCCTTCAAGGAGTGAACTTTTATTTCCCTTGTGTATGTATAAGATGTACAGGAGCGAATTCTTTTACAAAAGGAAAAAAAAATATGTATGATTTAAAGCATTCAACACAAGTTTTGCTCATGAAAGGTCTTCACTTTTCAAACTAAATGCACTCCATTTTTCTGATGGAAAGGACATTGATATCATTTAAAAACATGTTCACAATTTTCAAATGCATTTATTTGAAAAACAAAAACTGCTTGAGGCGTGGAATGAAACAAATTGTGATGCTTGTCTCTTGAAGAAACTCATGAAAAACAGAATGTAGCTCACACACAATTTAAGCCATTTCCATGAACAGAAAATATAAACGGTGCTAAAAATAACTCATATGTGAAATATCCTAAATTGCTGATTCTTTTTTATGCGATTTACTCTTGCACTGATTGATTCAGATTTCAGAAACTCAATATGCAACACAACATAACCAGCTAAAAAAAAATCTTGAATCTTGGGATTCACACACTTGAAGGTAAAAAAAACCAAGAACATCCATTAAAATTTAAAAATACTTCACAATTCTTTTTCCCCATCTATTAGCTTGTCAGAACTCGCAAGCCACTTTCCAGACAGCACAATATCAGAAGGAATAAACTAATGCCTCTTATCTTCATATCTTTTTTCCTTCACTCTAAAAATTATAATTCCTCATACTAATTATTGATGTGAACTGGTCAAGAGATTCAAGCAAGGATGATGAAAAGAATGGAACTCTGTTTGAGTAGACCGGCTCAGGAAAAAAAAAAACACCTGGTGAGACTTGATCTGCCCTTTAAACAGGGTTTGTTTGGAGGAAAGTGGACAAAAAGGGGGAGAAGATGAGAGGGACTTTTTTCCACGCCCTTCCAAGCAGGATTTCCTGGGAAAAGCTTGTTGTTGGTCTAACTGCAATGGTTATGTACAATTTTCGACCATTCAGAGCGGGACAAGAACAAGATACAGAAACAAAAACCCCCAATGATTTACCATTATACTAACATAATAAGTTTCTGAAACTGGAAAATAACTTTGATTATGAGTGCTCTATATGAAAAAAGGGGGATCTTTTTGCAGAAATGTCTGAAAGGCATGAAATGTGCATATTTACATAGTGATTAATAGAGTTATTGGATTGATGTGTATAAGAAAGTGCAGGACCCTCCATTTTCATGGTAAATTGTAAATATATTTGCAATGCCATTGTTTCATGAATGTTTTCTTAATGTGCATATTTACATAGTGATTAATAGAGTTATTGGATTGATGTGTATAAGAAAGTGCAGGACCCTCCATTTTCATGGTAAATTGTAAATATATTTGCAATGCCATTGTTTCATGAATGTTTTCTTCAAATTGCAATGAAGAAAAATCAAAAGCTTGTTAGCATACTTCTCAGGAAAGACGATCAGCACTTCGGCAGTAGCCAAGTTTTACTTTTAAAAGATTATAACATGAATTCCAAATTTTTTTTTAGAATGTCTCAGAAGTTTGAAGATCGCAACACTGCAGTCTTTCATGGGGGAACATTGGCAGTTTTAAATCCAATTCTCTCTTACAATTTCCAGATTGAATTAAAGCCAATTTCATTTTTGGACAGCTATCATGAAAGTGTTGGTATAGAGACCAGGCCCAAAATCACTTAGTTGTGAAGTGGTTTTTTCAGCATAAAATTTTCTTTCACTGCATATTTTTGCAGCATTTTCTGCATTTTGAATAATATATGCATTGGCACATATTACTGTAATGAAGAGAAAGTTTATAGATTGCTGATAGTATTGATTTTTCAACACCTCTTCTCAATTTATAAATACTCTTGGCTTAGTTTTCTGCAAATTTTAGTTGTTTTTAATAATTTCAGAGATCCACTCTGAGAAAGATTCTTACATGCAACTTTGCATTGAAACAGTTTCTAACCTTGAAAATTGATAATTTTCATCTCAATTTGTAGGATTATACTGTACTTGAATGGAAAGCTGTATAAAACTGATTAAGAATTCCTTCTGCCTGAAACTTAAAAACAAATTTATCCTTTAAAATACAGTAAAATCTCGGTACAACAAAGCCATTTGAGTCAGAAAAAAGCATTGCTGTAAAATCAGGAGTAATAAGGGGTCTGATTAGAAAATTTGTTTTGAGCAATAATTCATTAATTCAAGATTTGTTTTGCTCATTCAGATGCTGCTGTACAGTACATCACAAATATTCGCAGGACTTTGATTTTTGTGACTTTTGAAAATACCCTTGGGAAAAACTCCCATAAGTATACAGGTCAAGCAGCTGCATATGTATGAAAAGAAATGTGCTTCACAAAGCCAAGAGTTTGGATTCAGTCAACACTCCAATAATATCCTTTCACACTTGCGGATTTGCAAAAAAAAAAAAAAAAGGATGAAGGATGAGAGGCAAAAATAAAAGAGGAGGAAGGTTTTTGTTTGAGCATTCCAAAGGGAGCGCAAGGAGTTTGGATTCAGTCAACACTCCAATAATATCCTTTCACACTTGCGGATTTGCAAAAAAAAAAAAAAAGGATGAAGGATGAGAGGCAAAAATAAAAGAGGAGGAAGGTTTTTGTTTGAGCATTCCAAAGGGAGCGCAAATTTCTCACACCAAGTTCTCAGCAGCAGCAACAGCCCCCCCGCGGGAAAGTGTAGGACTGATGGAAAGCTAACTACTGTACTGGAAAAAATAAGAAATTGTAACCCCTTGACGTTTCCATCAGCAGCAGATGCAGAAGAGATGGAGAGAGAGAAAGAATGATAAGAACTGGGACGCAAACACCTGCTTGGCTCCGCACACAACCAAAAGGGGTCAAATAAACATGGCCACCACCTAATAAAAAGAAAGAAGGAGAGGAGGAGGGGAAGAGAAGTTTTTCATCCGGTTTCACTTGTTTTTGCAATGGCCCTGATTTCAGCTAGCTTTCTCCTTCTTTATCGAATTTCATTTCCTTATCCCTCTTACCCAGGCACAACAGCCTGACGAACAGCTATTGACATTTAGTTCTGCAGCATGCTGGGCCTCTTGAAGTTTCCTATACCAGCATCTTCTGTTACTTGAAAAAAAATTCATAATTACAAATTGTTACACACAATTTTTTTTCTCAGTCCTCAACAGTCAGAAAGCTATTTTGATTTCGATACACTGTAACACATTTCTTACAACAAAGCATTTTTCCCTGGCCCCATCTGTTGATCTCTAGTATAATGAGATTTCACTGTATATCTAATCAAATGCAGAATTTCCAAGCAAAGTAGCCTAAATTCTTCATTTTCAAGAAACAGATCAATATCAACCTGATTTTTTTCAAAGTTCAAGTGGGTATTAACTTAAATCCACATAACCTGATGAAAAATATTTGAACTTCACTAGCTCATGGCACCTGATCCAAAAATAAATGACAAGCATCAGACAATCCAAATTATTCCCAGATGGTCTTTTTGGAATCAAATTATTGATGCTGAGGGTGCGCAGCTCATACGCCAGATATTTTGAAATGTAAAAGCTTGGGGAAAATATTATACATAAGCCTGGAAAATCTGGTAGCAACCTAGAACAGAGTATTTCTAGAAGCAGAGGTTTTCATTGAACTCTTATAGATGTTGCATTCAGGAAGATAAGACTTTCCTTTGTTAAGAACTCTGCAGGATCAATAGACTTAACCAGTACTTGACGTAGGAGTCAATTGAGAAACATTTTCTACTTACATTGAAGAAAGTCGCATTAGAAGGATTCCAGAGAAGACCAAATACTGTACTGTATAAGGATTACATTGAAAAAATAATAATAACGCAAATCTTCATTTTCATCTTCACATCCAGCTCAACAGGAAACGTTTTGCAAATAATTCAATTGCTTACGTATTTCATATTTGTATTAAATTATTATCTTCCACAAATTCGCTTAAAGTTGTATAGTGTCGATGAACATGGATTTTTCCGACCTTGAAAGAAATTTTTTGGTGATTATATAAAAATAGTCGTAATTTTTGAACATATACAAAGAAAATACAGTACTATAACTTGGAAATCAATTTTGATTACAATAACAGTAACAACCCCACAAGCTTGGCTTCAACATCTGGAAAAGAAATACAAATAAAAATGATCTCACGCTGCACAGCAGCATCCATATAAATCATTCTCAGACAATGTTTTCATTGCGTTCAAAGTCAACACTAAGATCATCTCCAAGATTTTGGTCTTACAACTGAGCTTACCGCCAATGCTCTATAATATTCAACAGTATACAGATTGTACAGTTCTGTAATTTGTGAGGGGTAACATATTCTGTTCACATAGCTCACAGCAGCAGGCACATCACATACCGGTGCAGCTGTGCAGGTCCTCAAAAATATTACAGCACCCAACATATTGCATGTGAAACAATACTACTTAGGAGAGGAACTACGCCATGAATACAACATCTGAGGACGAACAACACAATTTCAGCTTTCATGCCAGCGGCGACATCTAGGAAAATTCACAGAAAGCCGACAGAACTCAGGAAGTAAAAAAACGAGTGCACAAATCAATCAAGGCCATATACGACGACTGAAGAGACTCCCCGAAGAAAGAATTCTAGCAACTTTGAAGATCAATATTAATGACACGCAAAACAGGCTCTTATTCAAAGAAAAAGTTGATTACTCATACAAAAGTACAGTGCATGATTGAAAATCATTAGGCTTGACTTGAATGCATTAGGCAAAAACAAGGCTTAATTAGTCTCACAAAAGGACAATCGGCAGAACAAAATAAACGCGAACATTTTCAAAAAGTCACTGTTGAAATTAAGCTGAATTTCGGAGTTTATGCAGATATTCCAAGAAGCAAAATATCCACCATTTTCTCAGATTACCTACATCATGAAATTTCGCTTTCCAAACTGTGGGTTGTCTAGGTCTAGGGCAATCGACGAACAAACATGTGATCAGCTGCGATGTCACAGGAGTCGAAAGAAGAACACATCGAAGCACATTTTGCCTAACCGGATTTTTCTCAATATTTTCACACCACATAATCATTTTCAACGGAGCAAGGTGTACACAATTCATTTAGTGTTGAGGGTCAGAAAGTGACGACGTAAAAATTCTCGAAAAAGTTTCCATTCGAGATACGATTTATCTTTTTTTTTCTTCAAAAATATTATCAATCCGGCAAACGATACTCTCGCAGAAAATTCTCAATCCAGCACATGTTAAGAAAAATCAGGAACCCGATTGATCACTTCACGTACAAATGAAGAGAAAAATATTTACAAATTGAAAGATTTTGAAAAAAGAGACAGATCCACTCAACGTTCGTCTTTCTCACATTCTAGACGAAAAACATACGTCCAACCATGTTGTCAGTCAAACGGATTTGCTGCGTAAGTCGATCGATATCTGCCTCTGTAGAACCTCCGGAGACGTCAGATGAGCTTGTCGCGGAGTCGGAGCTGCAAAAAAAAGTAATCATTCATGTCAGTTATTTCTCCATTCAAAAGGAAACACGCGTCAATAAATACTGTTCACAAAACCACGAGTAACCCAACGATCATTAAATTTTCGTCGAGGTGTACGCGGAAAAAAATTCTGGCGACATTGAGACGATCACTGAGGACCGTTTTCGCTACACCTATTCCGATTCTTGTACGTTAAACTTTGAGAAAAGGAATTGCACAGACCGACGGGAAATCGATGTCTTTGTTATTATTAAAATAATGTGTGGACTGGTCTTGAACGAAAAATTATACCTTCCCAATCCCAAGAGCCGAACAATTGCAGTTTTTGGTGCTGATTAATGCAAATTTCGGATAGTCCACCTTCCTTCAAAAATAATGTAAAATGATGTCATTTCTGCCAATATACAGCATGAGCTTTTAGGCGGCTTTTACTGGAGGAATCATCCGGTAACAAATGGACAACAATACATTCAATGTTCGAAGTTTTTTTTCTCGAATGAGAGAATTAATTTCAAGCGATTACAAGCCTAGAACAGAATTTAAAATTTGAATTTTTCAGATACAAGATACCCTTGCAAGCAGTTTGTAGGAGTTACGGTAATTAGTCGACGGGTGCCGACTTATTTTGATTGATCGTCAGTAATTATCCTCGCAAGAATATTTTCTTTCTTCAGCCAAGAAGAGCTTCGATTTGTACAAAATTTATCAGAAGCACTTCAATTATGATCGAACAAACGCAAAATACGAATACGAACGGCACCTGGTAGGGTGACGTTTTTGAATGAGCCCATCCAGCATCTCAGACGGTCTGTGCATTCCACGCTTTTGAGGAATCACTTGACCATCAATCCCATGTTCAACTGGTTCTCTTGTTGGTCAACAACTAGGGAGAAGTCCTCCAACACTTGAAAAAAATTTGTTTCATAGCTTCAGAGTACAGTATATGAAATAACTGTACACAAAAAAATCGCGCAACATCGTCTTCTTGGCATAAAAAGGAGCCCAAAAAAAGAAGTAATTGTCTTCCAATAATGCGCGTGGACGAAAAACAAAACCAAGATCGTCCCATCTTGGACTGTCAAAAAGAATGTACTGTATGTAATAAGATTAATTTTCTGTTAGTATGAATAGCTTAATTAGTTTACAAGACATAAAAATTATTAAAAGTAAAACTTTCATTTTAGGAAAAATTTTGCATTACATTGAGACTGGCACATGTGGGGACGGGCTTACCGAAATTCAAGCGTCTCCCAAGTCGAATCATTTCTCTGGGCGCCCCACTGTAGTTGACGAAACATTCCTCCTCCGTTATGATCAATAAAATTAATTTGCAATCATTCCAATGCAACTAAAGCCAAATTCAGCACAACATTCCATCAGTGAAAAATACAGACCGACTCTCTCCATGACTGAATTCACCCAGGAAAAAAATGCATTGTGGAGAATGTTCATATCATGGGCAGAGAACCCTATGGAACCAGAACAATTTGTCATACCGAAAAATATTTCAGAGTCCACCCTCGGAGAGATTCGAACATCAAAAACTAGGTTTACTCACAATGCTCCACGTCGAAATTCGTATGAGGGGCACCCCACTTCGTGCTGTCCACAGGCGCTGCAATCAGTCCTGTCGCAGCACATCCTGGTCATAAGAAGAAACACACCCCCCCACCCCGGCTAACCACTTTCCACAGTAGAAAAAAAAAGGAAGAACAGAGACTCGAACTGATCATGTGACAGGAACCACATCAATCTATCTACATTATCAGCAGTAACGGATTAGGAAACATACAGACAGCTGTGGAAACACATCCCGTGAAAACATAATACATCACGCAAGACCAAAAAATTCAAGCAATGGGACAACTGAGGGTCTGAACGACGGAATTTATCATTACCGTACTTCAAAAAGTTCTTTACTCGGGTAACTGACGAGTAAAGAACTCAGACCCTTCCGCGTGAAAAAAAAAATCGTGTACACGAAGAAGCGATAGAGCCCGGGCAGCGTAAATTGTTTCATTAGGGAGAAGACTTGAGGAGTTAGTCTGACTTGGGTGAAAGCGATAAATAAATACAGTACGCTCATTTCACGTAACACATGACAGAAATGAATTCAATCTTCAATTGCTCAGTCATGTTTTCATTTTTCAGTTTACATGAACCGTTCTTTCTTAACTTGAGAGTGATCTTACAGAACCAGGAACGTGCACAGTGGTCCACTTAGCGAAGGTTGAAAACTTCTCTCTCCATCAGATCAATTTCAAATTTTAAAAAAATCGTGTAGAGAAGATCATTATTACTGAAACTCAAACAAATACTTCATAAGTTCAAAATGGCAATCCGAGTTTATGTTCAGTCATGGGAAAGGCTCAGTCAATCGCTTAGGGCGAAGGCTCATTGAAACATTCTCAGAAAAATTGTTTCCATCCGACGAACGATTTTTTTCCTTTCAAAATATTCATCCCGAAAATGAAACTCGCAAAAAATTCTCAATTCAGCACACATACAGTAAAGAAAAACCAATAACCCGAATGATCGACGCACAAACAAAGAGAAAAATATTTACAAATTACAAGATTAAAAAAGAAAAAAACATCAATCCAATCTTCGTCTTTACACAAAAAACATGCGTCCAACCATATTGTCGGTCAAACGGATTTGCTGCGTAAGTCGATCGAAATCCGCCTCTTTAGAACCACCGGAAACGTCAGAAGAGCTTGTCGCGGAGTCGGAGCTGCAGAAAAAGTAATCATTCATGTCAGTTATTTCTCCATTCAAAAGCAAACGCGCGTCAATTAATACTGTTCACTAAAACGCGAATAATCCAACGGTCATTAAATGTTCGTCGAAGTGACGCGGAAAAAATCCTGGCGACATTGAGACGAAAACTGGAGGACCGTTTTCGGTATCCATATTTCGATTCTTGTATGTTACAGACCGACGTGAAGTCAATGCCTTGGTTACTATTGAAATAATGTGTAGACTGGTCTTGAACAAGAAAAATTAGACCTTCCCAATCTCAAAGAGCCGAACAATTGGAGTTCTTGTGCTGAAGCATCCGGATCTTGGATGGTCCACCGTCCTTCAGAAGTGTTGTAAAATTATGTTTTCATTACTCCCAAAATGTGAGCTGTTGGGCAGTTTCTACTGGGGGCATCATCCGGTAAAAACCGGACTACAATACGTTCAATTCTCGAAGTATTTCTTTTTTCCACGAATGAAAATTCATTATAAGCGCTCACAAATGTTCAACACAATTTCAAATTCGAACTTTAAGAATACAAACAACACTTACAAGCAGTTTGTAAGAGCTACTGAGATCAATCGACCGGTGCCAACTTATTTTCATTTGATAGTCAAGAATATTTTTTTCTTCAGCCACGAGGAGCTTCAGTTTTTACAATATTCATTAGAAACTCATCAATTATCATCGAACAAACGCAAAATACGAATACTGTACTGTACTGTAAAACCATGTATTTAATTTCGGTTTCAGGGCAAATTTGCAAGCTACTCAAACTGAGAACCCCGAAACTTCATTTGCAGAATTCAACACGAAGGTTTCGTACCACAAGAGTTTTGCATCATGAAACGCATATGCAAATGACACTCGTGACTCACTTGCGGATAGAATTCAGATATTCCCTGGCACGAAGGGCCACATGATGAGAATAATACGTTGGCGCAGGAATGGAAACAGACCTCGTGCAACGCGCATAGCAATGGCACAAATAATAGGCCACGGCTTGCAATCCGTTCTGACTGAACTGGTTATCATCCCAGAGAACGCAGTAGTGCGTCGGCTTACTCGTGCCCTACACGAACGATGTCAAGAAAATGGAACAAATTAAATAAAAGTTTCACTCGGGAGCTGACAATGCATATCCACTCGATTACAGTATTTCAATTACTCACGATAAAATTAATTTTGATTTCATGCACTTCAACGCCCGACTCCTCTGAATTGACTTTCTCAATTATCTTACTCTATAGAAGTCACCGGAAAGTCTTCTACTTAGATAAATCTGGTTGAAATTACGTTACGCGGCGCTAGTTCTAAACTTTACACTTTTTTCCACATCGTGGTTCAGTTCCAATACTTGTAGAGGCTGACATTTACATCTCAACGGGATTTTCATGTCATTGAAAACATCTCCCCTCTCTTTTAAAAAATCTATTCGCCAACGAATCTTCACCTGGATGCCTTCGTGAGAGACGAGATAGAAATCGAAGAACCACGGGGACGTTATGAACTGATCCACTACCGTCCCAGCGGGGACATTTCCGCTTCTGCCCATGGCGTCCTTTTGATCGGCCGGGAATAGCCTTCAAAAAAGAAAAAAAAAAAGCTCAGGCCCAAAAATCACTTCAAGTTGCTATCAATATACTGCGCGAATATTTTCCCGCAAATTTGAGAAAGTGATGCCACGTGAAACCAATAGAACAGCGCACCTGGTATGATGACGTTTCTGGACGACTGCAAATGTTATTTTCGGTTTGTAAGACGGATGAAGACTGGTGCAAGCTTCCTGGATTTTCGCTATTTCATATGATCGCACCTGAAGCAAGATAGTCAATAACATATCAGTCGATATTCGTGCGGTAGTTTCCAACACGGGATTTGGAATACTGTCAAACGTACGGACCTCCTTGAACATTCCTTCACCGACTCCGTCACGGAAGAAAATAATCCTCGTGGGCTTGTGGCCGGTGCTCCTATTGAATTCTTGAAGCCTTTTCCTGAACCACGCAAAAAGACATCGAAATCATTTTTGGCGATCATTACATAATCATTCCGATGTCATGAAGTACTGTATTCCTATAGCTGCGTACACCAGAGATTGATTGCCCAACAAAAGGAGCGACTATTCGTTCATTTTCCGAATATTCACTAGAATTACGGCTCGGACTACAGCAGCTTGTTCATCAATTGGAAATTTAAAGCCCCGTTCAAAGTGATCAACATAAAAATAGCCGAGATCATCTGAATATCCGGTTGGAGACTGATCGAAAAATTCGTAACAGTGTTGCTTAGGAGATAAAATGTTTTAATGCAACAAGAATACAGGTGGACACTCTCGACAACGATTTTCTATGCATGAGGAGTTTTTGTGGGTCCCATAGGCTTCTTTCATCTTGTACAAGTTCCCTACATCATGAAAATATTTTTTGGATCCCTTGAACTTCGTTGCGGAGAGTCCACTTGTACAGTATTTCTACGCTGTCGATATCCTGGGAATTTAAACGATTACCACTTGAGATGGTCACGAGGACAACAGTCAATCGAAATTGAGAAAGTTCATAATTTTACATGAGGAAAAAACACAACAGGGGTTGAACTGTGGAGATGAGATAGAAGCAAAAGATCTTACCTCATCACCTCCTTCATATCACCGATGAATTCCACCCGAGACCCTTGAACCCGGATGTCAGCCGTGTACTTCATGCCGACAAGGTCGACAGACCCAACGATAGCCGCAATCGACGGCTGATCTGATCCAGGCGCGGGGTGAGTAACATCAGCTCCGACAATCAGAGTAGGTTCCGACATCAAGAACTAAGGGAATAAAAGAAATTTCAACAGGACTCCCATGGGAGAGCAATTTAAAGAAGGAATAATCTTAATCTGAACCTGTAAAGCAATAAAAACGATCTTCAGAACATTTGATATGAGCTCCAGCTATCCATATCAAGATTTTTTCACAGCAAAAAACACAGAACAGATCTATTCACAGTACATACATACTACACTACATATTGGTAGTACAGTTGTACCTCGTTAACTCCAACCCCCCCGAAGTCGAATACTTCCCTCTGTCAAATTTACTTTTTCGAATCCCTGTCCGAATTCCCTTAGATAACCTCCCGAACTCGAATTTTTCGCTGGTCCCTGGTTCGACAGTACTGTTTTCAAAAATAATTCAAGGCATAGAAAATATTCCTTCAAGAAACACGAATTCAATTCCAGGAAGCTAAGATACATTCATCAAGTTCAGTCGCGATCACGAGTTCTATAATGTAAGCTGTTCATACCCAGAGGAATGCAACAAAAACGCGGTCTTCCGAAGGCCTCGAACAGCTGAATCAATCTCGCACTGTTAAGGAACGAGCCTGAAGCACTTCATTCGAATTCAGGACGTGGACATAAAACAGTGCACCAAAAATCTAGTCGAAAATGCAGTATTTCTTGGACCCTCCATAATGTACTGTTGCCTACTGTGGAACAGTGAACATTTTGCAGTAAAATACAGCGCAGTATCCCATACCGGCATACCACACAATGTCAATAACATTAAATTACATACTCAATCCATCGCAATGAAAACTTCGATGGAATCTTCAAGTGGACTCTTTCTAGAGAACGATTCTCTTTAGTCCCATAAGGGTTTTCTTTCAATGTTTTGGAGGTTCTCTACAACGAAATTCTCTCAAGATGTTCTTACTGGTCCTCTGAATTTCTCCCCACGATCTTTTTTGGTCCCTTGAAATTTGTCAAGGGAAGTCCATCTTCAAAATCAGATTTAGCTTTCGAATTTTCTTCTCTCAACGAATTCGCAAAATAATGCGTCTTATACTGTACTCGAAAGATATTTAAATCCTGGATTTTTCCTGGAGTTATGAAATACAGGTGAACTCTCACTACAACGATTTCCTCTGAAAAACAAATGTTCTTGCTGAACCATGGCATTATATACCCATAACGTGAGAGTTCTCTACAACAAAATTCTTCCTACATCCCAAGTTTCATTTTTCTTCATCGATTCTACCTGTGTTTTAAAAACTTTTCTCCTTCGTTGACTCACCCGCTGCGTCATGTCGTCCGCGACGGGAACGGAATTTACTCCACCAAGCTTAGTGTTAATCTTCAGAAGCACATTTCCGATATACTGCGGACTTGGGCCACTGCCGCCGCCGCCTCCGCCAAAGCCGCCTCCACGACCACCACGGCCGCCACGACCTCCACCTCCACCTCCACCACCGAAATGCTTCGGCATCAAGCACTGCGTCATCAAGCCCATTTCGGTCTCAGCAATTCGCTTTATCTCGCCATAATAGTCCTCTCTTCCCGGCAAGACAACCACCTTGGAAAACAAAAATACAGTATTGCTGGATACTCAGTCGCAAAGAAGTCTAAAAAAATGTCTTCATTCGAGCATGCGGCCAACACTGACTACAATTTTAGTACTGCAATTATCAAGAACAAACTGCATTCGAAATAAATGCCACATTTTCCGGACCCTCTTCCGCAAAGCTCAAATTCAGTACAATACTTGAAGGGGCCGGAAAATCTTACCAATATGTTCACAACGTGAGCTCCAATCCTGCGGAGTTGCGAAGGATCCTCGATAGTACCGAAATCCACAGGTGGTTGCAAATTCAAGCCGGTTTGAACCGCTTGACGGGTCATGTTCTCTCCGAACGCTCTAAAGAAATTAGACGACACAGTCACCAAGAGAAACGAACGAGCAACACACAGTGAATACTTGTGAATTTCAAATCGGACTAGATAAAAGCTAGAAACATCATAAGGAATTGGAGAACGCCCGCCTAAAAAAAAAACACTTCAATTCGAACTCACCTCATAACATTGTCTGGCACTTCAGATGATCTAAATTTCACGTATCCCCACTTGGTTTCTTCAGTATTGGTCTTGAAGAATCGGCAAGATCTCATTTCCCACTTGCCGTTACTTGGGTTGGCCTATACAGTATCAAGATGAAAGGAAATAGATTAGATCCAGAGATCGAACCAGGGTACACAACACAAGAGCAAGAAATCATGCAGTTGAACGAAGGAAAAACGTGAATACACTGAACAGCAAGTGCACAAACCAACACACACAGGCTTACTCAGGTTTTCTGGAATGTTGAGCAAGGTGAAAAGTAGAACGGGGAACCGCGAGAGTAATGGGGATAATCAGTTCCAAAACGTACATCAACGTACACTTGAACAATAGAAAGAAGTGAGTTTTCAATTCAGAAAACGCGGTGCGGTTTTCGAATATTTTTCATCAGTGCTGAAAAAAAATTAAATTAAACTGAGTACTAACCCTGCCATTTTGCATCGACAACGATGGCGCGGGGAGAACGCGTCCACCGATCTGCGGCATTCTCGAGTCGATGTTCATGCCGAGTCTTTCCAGCATGGGTCTCATACTCCCCACCAAGTTCACCATAGTTCTTTCAATGTCGCCCTTGCGTTCATAAGCGGGAATCGCTGTCTTGCGAATGAGCGCAGCGGTTTGCTGCTGTGAGAGTCGTCCAAGTTTCGTTTGACCAGGAACAATTTCGCAGACCTAGGAAATGAAATTCAAATGACGAATATTAATAAATGAAGTTGCGAAGATCAACAAAAATCCACACTAAAAAATGTCAAGGCTATCACAAACGTTGGGTAAGAAATGTTATTTCCCGCATGGCACAGGCATATTGCTTTTCGCGATGCAGAGGTATAGTTACAAGTATTCTCGTATTGAGGGGATCAATGAACTGTACCGTACTTCAAGATTCCTAGAATTTATTTTTTTTAATCTTCATTCCATTTGGTATGACAAAAACTATGGTTTAATCGGTATGCAAAGCACTGAAGTACCGTTCTTACTTGAGTACAATGCGCCCTCAAGTAAGACACGCACACCAATTCTTTTTTTTTTCGAAATCTGCGCATAAATCAACCCTCCGATAAAACCCACACCCCAATTTTTGTTTTTGCTGAGAATAAAGAATTGTGAAATCGAATTTTTCCTTCTTGATATTTTGTCTTTCCCGTTGTCCGCAGGAGAAGTTAAAAAAGGCTTGGAATACACGGCGGCTTCATCGATTAGATGGATACTTCCCTTCTTACTGTTGCAACATTTACATTGTTTTCTTGAAATTTTCATCAAGTGAATCATTACTTCCCACGAAAAGGAGACTTGGCGCCATACATTTCCTCTTAATTAATTTTGCTTAGATGTTCTCACATCCGTGAAAGGCACTCCTTCTCGGGAATTTTTCTATTTAAGATGCATCCCAGAATAACACGCGCACCCAATTTTTCCAACTCAATTTTATGGGGAGAAGGTACGCTTGGTACTTGAGTAAACACGATAATACGAAGACTAGCTAATGCAACAGCTACTTCCATGAATTTTTCTTCCACCGCAACTTGACTTCACGTGTCATAAGTTCTTCCACACCCCTGAACAGTACTACATTTATCGGACAAATGTCAATCGAAAAGATTGCCAAATAAATTCCTATTGCCAGGTAAAATTCAATTTTCGTATATTTCTGCTCCCATGGATGATGGCAGCGAAAAGGGAGAGACATTTCCAGGAAGAACGCATGGTGCTTTCGTACAATTCCTCCACTTCAGAGACGCCTATAAAAGCAAGGAAGAACAGAAAAAGCTAACCTCCATCGGAATGTAGATTTTCTTTTCTCGCTTTCCGACCTGCAAACAAGGCAAGCCTGGGAATTTCAGCGCCCAATTGTACTGAGACTTGAAGAAATCCGCAACATTTGTTTTTCTGGTCTTTCCATTGATTTCCGCGTCAAATCTGCAACCATCAATATGGAAACAAAACAATAATCGCCAAGCAGCATAAGAAACATGATGAGCAAAATAACAGAATTTGTGATATGCATATCTTCAGTTTTTGGCCGAAGTCAAGCTTCTTCCTTCAAAAAAAAAAAAATCGGATAAAAAATAGGCCATTTTAAATTTTATGTAATACTATTTCGTAGTCCATCAATATCTTATTAAATGTCGGGTGAACGTTCCACTGCAAAATAATTTTCTCAACGTTGAGGGATAACAATTCACTTGAGAACATGTTGGTCGAAGAAGTTTTGTTTGAACTCACGTCAACTCCATGGAACTCGCACGAGTCACGTCGATCACCCCGTACTTTCTCGGAACTTTCGGATTGTGAAGGGTCTTCACTTTGAGACCGATCAATTCTCCCTTCACAGCATCCCGGAGCTTGGCCAAATTCCGGAATCGACGGAAGACATCATCCATGGTACGGGAATTCGTGATCTCCATCACAATGTCGACAACATTCCCAGGTTTCACGAAACCAGTGGCCGCTTCTGCAAGTGCAAAATATTTTAGTGGATAACATATGGCAACGAGTTAACGCGGTAATCAGAAAACGGATCATGTCTTAGTCACGCTTGAATTCACAGGAAACCACGCTCAAAATTTAACACGACTCTCATTCATTTGAAGTTTTTCAATAAATTGCATAGCAACGATTACTTCCATCACCATATCAACCACTCATCAGTATTGAAATTCGGCCTGAAATCATAAGGTACGTTTTAAAAGTTCAGAACGAGTGAAGATTTTTGCTCAAAGAGTGTGACATTTTTCTTTTCCTGATTTTAAATGTATTGGCACGAGATAACTCTTCATTTTAATATTGAGGAAGAATCAAAAATATTCTTGCATTTGGCCAGATAAATCTGAAAAATTAATTTTACCCTCGCTTTCTCCAAATTCTTTGTGCGGAAACCAGAAAACCCTCGAATTTGTCATTCAAAACTGCGTCAAGGTCGAAGACTTACTATTTACAGTCAGAGTCATCAACCATCCGTCTTTCCTGACGGTATCCCCGGGCCTCAGGCTCATAAAAAAGCCAAAATGCGCATTCCTTCCTTCTCTCAAGTCAAATGGGTCCATTGGGGAGAAAAAGCTTCTCCCAACTTTCCAGTACGTCTGAGACGGAAAATGCTGCAGTGTGACTTCCAATGCCTGAGAAGAGAAAATACGGGCATTGAGCGACAGAACAACTGCCATCTGGTACAGTATAAAAAAAACATCCCTCGTGGAACAACCAAGTTGATTCAAAGGGAGAATCAAATTCCTTCAACGCATTTTCTGCTTAAAATGTATTTCAAAGCAATCCAGAAAATTATGGTTATACTTGCAGCAGACTTTTTCGCACATTGGATACCAAGTCTTCCCTACTTCAATACCCAAGACTCGGAAAACATCCGCTCAAATTAACATGACGAATGTTAATTCAACACAGGTGGACTCTAGCTACAACAATTTCCTCTGTCCACATATTTGGCGGTCCAACGGGACCACCAAATATGTGTACAGAGGAAATTGTTGTACATAGGGTTCTCTCTCCATGTTCTGAAAGTTCTCTAAAACAATTTTCTTTCTGTTTCTTGGAATTTCGTTTGTAACATGAAATTCGACACAATCTAGTGCAGTGTTCTCAACCTTCTTGATCCCCCGGACCAACAAATCTCCAGAACATTTTTTGAGGACCAGAAAATTTCCATAAAAAATTCTGTGGACCAGCAACGCTTCATGAAATATTTGCACGTTCAAAAAAATGTTTCTTGTAAGACAACACAAATGGCAGGTATTTGAAAGCTTCTGCTTTTTTGTGCAAAAATTGAGTCAAGAACCATTGAAGCAGCTACGGTGGAATGCATTCAAAAATGAAAAGGTAGGCTTGAAGGTTTTTCAGATTCAAAATTTAAAATGTTTCATTAACTCAGGTAAAAATTTGTTTCAAGACCCCTATAATAGGAGAAAAGCCAAAACATATATTTTAAAGAGATAATTATAATTGCCATTATCTTGCCAAAATTTGAGATTACGACACTATCTGTAAGGTCCTTCACTGCTACTTTTGAAAAAATCATTAGCCTAGAGATATTTTCCGCCGGCAAAAAACGTCTGCGTACCAGTGCCGGTCCTCGGAACATTGATCGAGAGTATTTTAATCATCAGCCAAACTTCAACTGGCGGCGACATCTACACAATGAAATGAACGATCAGGAAATTGGAGGCACCAAGCACAGTCTAGTCTACAGATCCATCATTAGCGCTTCGTTCGATCGGAATCAAGAACACTTTCCTCATTACAGTACAGGCAATACTTTCAGGAAAGGATCTCCAACCTATCTCGACATAAAACCATTGAAGTTCATTTGAAGAGCTTCATCTACACCTTTTACTCCTGCATGTGAATTTAATTTCTACATTTTTTTTTTATCCTCAATCGCGATGCGATTCTTGGAATACGTTTCAAGCGTGACCTCGGTAACCGCGATCTTGACCTTCGGTAAGCATGAAGAAAATTCTCAGGTCAAATCTTTCCTCGAATTGTCGACAACAATTATATCACACAGCGACAGTATCTGCCGTTGGCATTCCTCCACCACCACTGTTCGACAAAGAAGAATTGCCGGGCCTCGGAAAAGTGGGTGGGACGTCATTTGACGATACCCAGCCCTACGATGACACGGATCTAGGGCTAGATGAAGATCATCACACAGCAGACGAAAGTCTTCCGCGTCACGTGGGCGAGACGCAAGTAGAAACTCCTCCACGAGGCTCGGATTTCCCGCCTTCAGTGCCATTGTTTGGCGTCGACTGCTTCACGTGTTCTTCGCGACTCGAGTGCATTTTGGGCGGCAGTCCGCAATTTTGCAACGGAGGAATTGCTTGTTACACATCCTACGTTTCCCCCCACCGACGTAAGTAAAGTATACTTAATGCTGATTGCTGCTCAAGATTCTCACCTGACATAGTTTCAACTCGAAGAAATTTCTTATTGAATTTAAAACACTTCAGCAATGAAGAAATAATTTAATACTGCATAAGAAACACCGCTTGTTGAAACTCCGTTTTGAAGAATAACACAGTAAATCGTCTCAACATCGAACTCGACAAATTCAGCAAAGTCGCGACTAGTTAAAACTCATTTCTTTTTTGTCCATAATTGAGAACAAAGCTTTTAGACCCGAGGAGCCCGTCGTGCTAAAAATATTTCCTGACAACCGAAGTGACAACATTCAGTGAAATGTTATAATACAGTACCTTAGAGTTTACACATGCAACTTATTACCAACTCTTCGTACACCATACTTATCGTATTTTCACGATTCACTGTATAAGCACCCCACTAAGTTTCTTCATGCACTACATTAAAATTCCATTAATAAGCGAATTTAAGCACCCCCTTACTTTCCTTGTTTTGACATTCCGAGACCCTAAGATTTCTGAATAAATCCAAGTTTTCTCCCGGAAAGGATTAACGGTGTGAAGACATAGTGAACGAAGGAAATCTGTTATATACATGGCTTCCTATTTCACTTCGATGTCGTATTCCTAAATACTGCGGCAACAGATATTATTTCTGAAGACGAAGTATCTTTATTTATTTTCATTGCTTTCGACACTAGAAAATTGGAAAAATGGGTTCTTATATTTACGCGTAGGACAAAATTATGTAAATGAAGTATAAGTTGCCCCTAGCTTTTGAAGTTCTAAACATAACGACCTGGTTGCTTATATTCGCGTAATACGGTATTCATCCACAAATCAGCCCTACTTTGAACTTCGCATTCAATCTTTATTCCGGGGAGCCCCAGCGAAGTTCACCAGCCCATAGGGCTCCGCGGAGCACACTATGAGAACCTACGTGTTTATGACCGTATTTCGGGGATTTCCAGAAATCATAGAACGTCAGGGATGCACATTCGATAACGACAAGTTTACAGAAAAATGCGGGAGTGATGACCCAACGAGTGCAGCAAGCACGTACTCGTGCTACTGCAAAGGGGCAGCAACGAATCCAGCTAAGCAGAACTCCAATTATACAGGTGGCACGCCGAACTGCAACCGACGCGCTGTCAAATACGTTCACGGAGGTAAGTTCATACAGTACTTCTTCACATTTTTGGAAGAGAGCTTCATAATATTTATAGATTAAATTTTATGTCCTCAGATTTATAAATTTTGAAAACTTTTTCCGAGAACTTGAATTCATGCCAAACGATGTATTCGGGTTGAAAACATTTCGTTGAGCAATTTCTTCGCTTAAAAGGTTGCCTGTTACTGTAGATGACTTTTGAGAAGGACATGAACAGAATTATTATAATTGTGCAAGTAAGACGTTCCATTTGAATAGTCTCGACCAAAAGTTATAACAAAGATTCGACAGTTCAAATCAGTGCTGCCCAATGCAGATCAGTCGAAGAGCCATCAATTCTTTCCTGGGGTTCAAGGGCTACACCGCATCATTCAACGCCAAAGATTGAATTGGAAGCATAGTTTTATGGAATTTTTCAAGGACAGAGCAGCATTTCGAATTTTCATGCAACCTCAATGTATACAGAATTTCAAATTCTGAAATTTGTGGCGGCTGCCACGTTGAAAATTATATGGAAAGGCCCGCGGGATGGATCGAGAGTTTCCGGACAGGATCCGGCCCGCGGGACGCATATTGGGCAGCGCTGGAAAAAATTATCGTACTTTTATAATCAACAATTATAATCTTCGACACATTTTTCTCAGATATTTGTGCTCAACGCCAGGGAAGAGCCTCAAGTATCAAATACAAAGCAATGCTCTTGAATTTTCGTCAATATTTGACCAAAAATCCTTTTTTTTTCAGACGAAGTCATATGCTATTCTTGCGGAGACGCAGAAGCATGTCGCACAGGAGGAACACTGATACAATGCGGGGCAAATGCTGGTGCTGCCTGGAAGACCAATGGCTGTTACACGGTTTACAAGGATGCAGACATGCGTAAAATCTTTTTTTTTTTAAGAAGAACCGAATGTCAAATTTGTGTACTGCATAAAACCTTTCACAGGATTTGCAATAAAGAAAAACTGCGCCGACAGGATTGACCTCGCAGACGGCGAGTGCAAAATCGAAGAGAACACGGATAATTTCCGTTGCTATTGCAAAGGCGGCTTCTGCAATCAATTCAATGCCGTCTCCGACTCCAGTTCTTATTTACTTTTCACGAATTCATTATTGCTGTTCGTCGTACTAACTCTAGCTTTCGTGGAGTGAGATTTTCTTGAGTGAAATTCCGACATGCGCTTCATCGAAAAATCTTGCGATTACAGCGTTACACATTTGAATGATTTCTGCCATCTGATACAGACAAATCTTAAGTTGTTTATTGCTCGTGGGAATGGAATTATTCCAGGTAATTTGCGGTAAAAATAAAAAAAGGGTTTTCCATGAGTTCCGATCTTCAAAGCATTTTTTTCAATTTCAGGTTCGTCGAAAGTTAGCTTCTCCAACTTGAAATGCATGAAGGTCGACGCTATTTCAGAAGCCAATTCTCTGACCACTAATCCAGAATAATTGAATGGGTTGGGAACAGAGCTGCTTTCTGGGAAGAGCAGTAATGGGTGCAGCATCGTACACATCTGCCACAGAAGCATTTCAGCAATTTTTGTAAAAAAGAAAAAAATTAAAATGATGAAAGGCCATATCCGGCAAAAATATCAGAAAAGAGATCACGGTTTACGTATTCTGATTGCACTGAACAAAAAATTGACTAGCAAGAATGGGTAAAATAAACTGGAACTCTTCAAGTGAGCGCGGAATGTAAGATCACAAGCTCTAGCCTAAACGAACAGGTTATCGTTGAAACGTCATCTTCCGTTCGTACGCGTTTTAAAAACTGAAACAATCTTTAAAGCAAGCATTGACATGAGTCCGTAAGCCCAACAATTCTGGGCAGTAGCAGAAAAAGATCCTCAAATATTCCGAAACATAATTATGGAACGTGATTGAAGTAAAAAAGCATGCTAACCTGCATGCAATCCGTGGGCATTTCTGAAAGCTTTCCTTGCGAGTACTTCTGAACATCCGAGATATCCAATAAACCTCCAGCAGATTTCAGGGTAATCAAGAACACACGATCCTTACCCTCTTCTCTGTATTGCACCTGTATTTAGTAATAGAGAAATATTGCAATTTTAACCCGTGCATATTTCAAGAAAAAAGAACATAAGTACACTACCTCAAACGTGCCAACTGATCTTAAGCCGGGTTGTACAGCATAGCAAATCTTGCTCCCATCAAATGCTGCAATATTCCCGAGAGCTCTCTCATGCTGCAACAGGAACAGCTTCCAAAGTTCTCTGCGAAGATAGTCGAAAATGCATAGTCGGAATTATACTTTCCAACATCTCAAAATTAAATATTTTACTGTACTGTAAATAGAAATGAAAAAAGAGGAAGTCGATGAACATCATGCACGCAATCTAACCTGGTCAACCACTTGGGCATCCTGGCCGGCTCGCTTTTGGGTTTTTTGCCTTCTTCCAATTTTGGTTCAATGGTCACATCATACATGTGAAGTTTCAACTTGGGATTCTTCAAGCTGACGACGAACTGGTTGACGAACAATTGAATCTTCCGTCCACGGTCACCGGGCTGCTGGGGCCTTTGCAAAAATGGACGATCTGAAAAACAATGCATGATGACCTTCAACACGAATTAAACGAAGCAGCACATGCAAAGGAATATCACGATAACGGTTGTTTCAGGATACAGTACTTTGATAGGGAAGATATAAGCACTCATTGAACTTGGAAATTCTGAGAAAGTCAATGAACGCAAAAGGACGCCTGATTTTTGTTCTCCATCAAAAACACATTCAATCGGGAAAGAAAAGCTGCTTTCAACTGCCAGTAGAAAATGTACGTCAGAGACTTGTGTAAAAATCTGAGGCTACAAAAACATACGACAGCACTACTCTAGAATCAAGGAAATTTGTTCCGCTGATTATTTATAGATCATTTGAGAAATCGTGAAAACCAAGAGAATTCCCAGTTTTGTATGGAGGTACATTGCGATCTCAACAAAAAATATTACGAGTCAGATCATTCAAATTTTTGAAAAGGATCATTCGAATTCAGAAATGACAGTTAAAAGCTTGCAACATTCATGAATTTTAGCTCAAGTATAACGTTTCTAGAGTACAGTATTATCTCCTTCTGAAGACTTTTTCAGCACTTGAAACAGAATAAATATCCTGATCGCAGAAATAGGCATTCAATCAGCCTTTCCTAATTCTCAATACAATTTTATAATACTGTACAATAAAGAAAGTTCAAATTAATATACAGTAGTTCAAGAATGAATAACAAGTCTCTACTGCGAGCGAATAAAATCAACGAAAACCACAAATCGGATAAACGATAATTTTGGAAATCGCCTCCCATTTATTTATGGGTATATTTAAGAGGAAAAAACTGGTATTCGGGTTCAGAGTGTGTACTCACTTTCTATAATCTTTTCGAAGTCCGACTTCTGGCGGGATGCCACAGCTTTGTTCGAGTACACCGACAAAGCTTGCATCTGAAGAGCAAGCGCATCTGAATCTGGACATAACAGGAAGGTGACGCATTAATAAGACGTTATCAAATGGAAGGAATACAAGTTAGAGTTGCAGGGTTAATGATACAATACGCTGGGCGAGCGTTTTCCGCAGAAATTTTTGAGAATAGCACAAAAAATCTCATTTAATAGGGACAAGATATGAAAAATATTCAAAATGAAGCTTCAAACAGTACCCCCAAAATAATCCATGCAACAATATTTTGAAGCCAAGTTCAGCATTTGTCAAGGAAACTCAAGTGATTCGGTGGACAACGGTCTCCCTGTTCATCATCCCAATTTTGAAAATCAAATGGGAAGAATTTGAAACGGGGAAGACGATCCTTGCCGAAAATCTGATCAAACAAATCGCTCTGCATGACGATCTGCTTTTAGAGAACGAATAATTCATGATACGCGTGAAAATCTGACACTCCCATGAACCCTACATATTACAGAATTTCTAACACCGTCGAAGTGAAACATGGATAAATGAAAAATTGCAAAAAATTAGAAGGTGGTCAGATAACATGAGGTGAAAATCAATCATCGAACGGTTTCTTTCACAGATACTGTAGAGAGGATTAATGAAAGCTCAAGCGGTTGGAAGTCCCAAAATATATCGTACCGCCACCTCCGGATTTTGGAGTTGTATCGGGTGCAGCTTGCGCTGGTGTAGGCGCATTCTGCACAGGTGCGGCTTGAGCAGGTGCCGGCACATTCTGCGCAGGGGCAGGCTGCGGTAACCCTGGGTATTCCCTAGGAGGGTCCTGGCGTTGAATTCCCGGTTGTTGGCCTAACGACGGGAACAGCTCTTGCTGTCCCGGTAGGACAGGTGGTTGGTCCTGCCCACGTCCTCGACCGCCGCCACCACGACCACGTTTCCTAGCATCTGGTAATAAAAGCCAACCCAACTTCGGTCAAGTACTGCACTGGAAATTAGAATTTCGATCGCGAGAAAGTTCGTCCTAGCGAATAGAAGTCTTCACTAAACATTATTTTTTTCGTGATAAATTGAACTTATCTCAGGTGTCTGAACTGATACTAAATTCCGCAATAATGAACCTACTCATCAGCGTAAGCACGTCTTCGCATCTATATTACTGGAATTGAAGAGATCAAGATTTCTTGGCAAATGACCGAGTAAGAGTTGCGAATTGGTCACACAAACACTCAAATCAAGATCGTTAAAAAATCTGTGTTCGGGTTAAATCGTATTGTTCTTGCTAAAATCACGTCGAGAAAAACCATTTCGCATAGGAGTAGCTAAAATGAGGAGGAAATAGCAATAAAATTGCTTTTTCGAAGAAATTTTTTTTTTATAGCTCGAACTTCGGATATGGGCTCAACGGAGGTTTACGCTCATTTTGAGATGTGAATACTTCGAGCCTCATGATGGTGACAAGCGGCAAATTAAGCTTGCAAATCAATCAATCAGTAATTCATCTACAGAAACTAACAGCAAATCATGAATCTTCTTGGAAAAATTATATTTTCCAACAAATTGCATGATGAAAAGAGAATTTAAAGAATCGTCGACTTGAGCAAAAGAGCTTTTCCGTCAACAGAATCCCCAATACAACCACCAGGAATGCAAAAAATAAAGCTCCGTAGTGATGTAAGAAACGATTCAGTATTGACTAGATCAAAATCACCCATACTTCGAGTATTTCAAGATGAAAAAAAAAAGAACTCCTGAATTGATCCTCATGATTACGATCAAGTCATGGGTTTGCTATAATTTCTAAAGAAAAAGTACCAGAGAGTGGAAAAAAATCCAAAAATCCAACTGTGATCCCATAAAATCTCACCATTCGGAGGACTAGCATCCAGTTTTGGACCTTCAGGTGATGCCACGACTGGTTGCGGTGCTTGCACCACACTTCCTTCGGGAACAGAACGCCCGACTCAACCGCAGCCGTCTTCAGGAACAACGTGTTTACGTCCACCGGACCCAGGGGTAGGCGCACCGACTCCTTGAGCTGGTCCCCGGTGATCGACTCCACCGGGCCCTTTGTTACCACCAAGGCCCTGTTGTCCCGCAGCAGCAGGTGGCGCGACAAAGGGCATTTGTTGCTGCCCTGGAAACCCAGGGGGCGGACCTCGTGGTCCAGAAGCCCCTGGAGGCGGACCAGGTCTCTGTTGCTGGGGCGGGCCATGTGGTTGCTGGTATTGCGGCGGACCAGGTGGCCGGTGTTGTTGTTGCGGTTGCGGCGGACCAGGTGGCCGGTGTTGTTGTTGCTGTGGGTTTTGATGTTGCTGCGGCTGTCCTTGGGGGCCCGATTGTTGACCCTGATTTCCACGTCCTCTGCCTTTTCCTCGCTTTCCGCCACCACGACCGCCTCGTTGTTGCTCCATTTTTTTTCACAGAAAGTTCGCGTTACTGTTCAATTTTCCGCGATTCGCAAATCTTTCATTTCGTTTTTCTGAAAAAATATGCAAATTTTCAACTTCAATCAATTTTTTCGAACTTTCATACCCGGTTCATGAACTACGTACAGGTATTGCCTCAATCCCAAGCCCGGACCTAAAATCGTGTCAATCCTATATTTAGAGAGATCCTAAATTAAACCACGAGAGGCTAAAAAATTGAAGCGATATCACGCACAAAAAATGTTAGGCTCCAAAACATACATAAAAGAAACTGGTCTAGCATTCAATTGCTGTTTACAGGTTGACTCTCTCTACAACAATCTTGTCTACAGCGATTATCTCAGCAGAAGAATTTTTTTTCTTTGAGTCCCATACGCGTCTCTCCCGATGTTTTAGGTATTCCCTACAACGATTATTTCAGGTCCCTTGAATTTTGTTGCTGAGTCCACCTGAGTCACTTTAAAATAAATAGTCTCATCAGCGCTAAATTCATAACCAACAAAGCGAGGTAAAATTGAGGCGATACGAATGCACCGGACAGTTTCGGAAGATTTCAAAATTAGCCAACAGGACTTCAAATGCCTATTACGAATGAAATCACAAGTTTTATCAGCACTACTTCTCATTCACAATATCAAAGATCAGAGTTTGTGATACTGCGCATCCACAGCGTGGTCGTCTTCTATTCGAGCATCGTAACGAATGTAAACGTCCTCGTAGCTCTTGTCGAGTTCCGTACTCCCACGCTTCGGCGCTTTCTCGCGGATGAAGCATTCTCTGGCAGATGTGTCCGATTTCAGCGCTTCACGAACCATTTTGTCCTCCAAATCAAGCATAAATCTGTCGAAGTCAAATAAAATACATACGCGGGTAACGAAAAGACACACATTTGGAAAAATCCACGTCCAAAGACACTCAACTTCATATCGTTCGCAGGAGTACAACAGTTTATTGGGCAATAACGAACGCACCCTCAAGCAACGCAGAGATGCTAAATTCTACATTTTGCACTGTAAAAGAATTTTCTCTTCATAATTTCTTCAACAATCGTTGGAAAACGATCGTTGAACCTTGAACCGATCGTGTTGCGCATTCCGACCGATTTCCGATCGCGGCGATTATTTTTTAACTATGAAAGCTATTGATGAAATAATCGCTGTGAGAGCACACATTGAAACGGAATTTCCCATTAGATATTCCCCACCCACTTCCTATTCATTCAACCATGCCCTCTGTTCAAAAATTCACTACTCTACTTCAAGACTTCATCGTTTTCACGTTTTAAATTGGAAAGGTGTTCCTTCAAATTTTACCAAGAGAGATTTCCCCTCTTTCATGATAGAATGTAATTATTCAGAAGAACCAATTTACCTGTATTGAGATCCGGACACTTTTTCCCCGGTCACAGGGTCTGTCACATCTCCGCACGCAAACAATACTTCTTGAACGACGTGCGAAACACGTTCATTCGCCTGTTCCGGAAGCTTCTTGACCAACACAATGTCACCAATGTTGCATGCTTTTGCAGGGTCCTTAACGTATATCGCTTCTTTCTCCGGGTAAAACTGATAATCAAAATGTGAGAGAAAATTGCAATTGAACAGAGACAGTAATGACTAAGTTAAATTTTTTTTAATCAAATAAAATAATTTCGGGGATTCTTCAAAATTTAAATTTCGCCCAAACTTTTGGGACACTCCATCTTTGAACTGAAGAAAATGGCATACGTTTCGGAAAAGCGAAATTATTGAATTCTAGCCTTCATTAAATTCTAAAATTTGCAGTTGTTGGGAAGAGCCTACTCTTAAGGGGACAAGAATTCAAGTTCAAAAGGAACAGAAAAAAAAACGACCGGATCAATCAATTGAATTTATGAACGAAAACTCAAAGCATCCTCAAAATCACCAATTCTGAATTACGGATTACGATTTTCACGGGTTTCAGTCGCACACCGAAAGAACTTCACCTACGTCATGGAAATTTTCTTCTTCGGGGAAACATGAATCAGTCAAAAAATCATTAAAGGCAAAATTTTAAAGATTGAGAAAATTAAATATACAGGCATATCGCAATGCGCAGAATACGGTACTCACAAGTTTCATGGACTCATGAAAAATCTGCCTGGTGACCACGACTTTGACAGTGTCTGGAACATTAGACGGATGAACAGTACCAGCCAGCATCTTGGACGGCCTGTGCATTCCATGCTTGTAAGGAATCATCAAACCAGCTAACTTTGCCAATCGTTGACGCGGCATTATTTTCAATCACAAAACTGAACACAATTCCGTCCTCGATATAACGTTCCTCTCCTAAAACAATCACTGAAACATAATCATAACATAATGAACGCTTCAACCACTGCCGGTGAGAATACAACACCGAGGTCGATTCTTATGGATCAAATTTGTGCATACTGTATTTTAAGGAGCTTCTCATTGATTTGGCAGTACGAACTGCGCCCCATATTTAGCCGAACAAAACACACCTCTTCCTCATCAAATGAGCAGATATCTGAAATTTAATGACGCCTTCGATTTGGCGGGGATGCTTTTGACCAACATCTTTCGAAAATAAATAATCTTCAGACAAAAACACATTCCCGAACCACTCAAGACCAATTCCGATTCATACCTTACTAAATTCTCGAAATTTGAGGATTTTCAGATATTTGAATAGAATCAGCTGTCAATTTTCATAAGACGTACATCGATAAAAAAAACGACTCAAGAATTAAGATCGAGTGCCGCTGATACTAAAGCTATTACCTGAACATTGATGCAAGCTTAGCGACTTTTGATTCGTTGTATGCTAAATGAGTGATTCATCTTGTGAGAGGTCGAATAATCAATCAATATGTAGCGTAAGATTCCCGTTAAAATGGTCTCATGAATCTCAATTTTGAATTCCGCAAGTTTGGAGGAAAAAGCGTTCAAGGGAAACACAAATTTGATCCACTTTCTCTGCAAGGCGAAATTGGAAGCTATCCTATTTGGTGGGAGCCAACCTATCACCTAGCTTCCTGAAAAGACGACGTAATGTACCTGAATTTCTTTCCTTTATTCCACAAGAAGATCCATCGAAACTAAGTGAAAATGACTTGCTAGTGCTCATCGATTACCCAATTCCATAGCTGCTGCTCTGGACAGGAGACACACTGCTAAGAAATACCGACATAATTCAAAATAAGTCATCAATACAAGCTTAGATAATGGTAGGCTGGCATCCACCACGTAGTATAACTTTTTCTCCCTCGACCTTCAAAAAAATAAAGTTCGAACAATCCAGAAGTCGTTCAATTTTGCACACCGAAAAAAAAATTGCACGTCGCCGCCCGGAAAACATTGCAACGCGGTACTCGAACACAACCCTAAAAGCTGAGTTTCGAACTAAGCTTTAAAAAAAAAAAGCTTTTCAAACACGTCCAAAAAATTACTCAAACGTTGCACCGTAATCTCACTGGTCCGTCTTCAATCGCACGAGTTCAGTCCCCCTTGCGACATTGTCACCGGCTTTGTGGAAAACCTTCTCCACCAGTCCCGCTGACGGAGCTTTAATGACATACTGTAGGAATATGATGAAATCATGAAGGAATTGGAAGCCATGAAAGCGAATAAGAAATAAGGATACGCGACAACCTGCGTGTGAATCGAACCTTGGTTCCAATCGAGTGATTTGATTTTGTACTACATTAATATAGTAGTAGAACATCATTCGGAAGCATTGAATCGGAATGAAAATAAACTACACAACTACACTCCTTCACTACAGAAAGCGCGTATCGAGATACAGTGTCAGTTTGATCTGAATCTCTCGCGCTTTTCCACATAACAAACCTTGGGAGCAACTTCGAAAAAAATTATCTACGGCAGCTCAACAACGCCAACTAGACACAATGAAGTGAAAGTGTCCTTCGCTTCAAACGGTCGTACCGAAGGATTACGGATGGCCTACTGTACCCTATACCGTAATACGGCGGTTTGTTCCCGCAGCAACTTCGTCATAGAGGGAGATGAGCAATTCCCGAAGAGGGAGGGGGGAAAAACCCTGAAGGCCTCAGATGGGCGGAAACAAGCGCAAGACAAATGGGTTTATTACTGTTCGACAGCTGAAGGACGTCACAGTTCCAGGGAGACGAATACAGTACAGTATTCAAACCGCTCCAAGAACCCGATCCGTTGCAAATGCGAATGCAAGAGCAGGAAGTCGCTCCCAAAAACGAAAACAAAATCCCTCCCAGATGAACTTCTCGGCGAGTGGCCAACAAGTTTTTGAATTTGGCTACCCCGGGTTCCCAACAGAGCACGCTTGTATTCCTACAGCAATGGCAACTACTGAAATCCTGCACTTTACTGAAGACATAAGCTTTTCGCGAAGCATCATGCAGGTGTCGCTGAACATTCAGTTCCGCCATGATTTTTCATGCCTAGTTCTCACGCATTTCTCAAACGCTTAGTTAGGTTAAACGAATTCCGAAAAAGTTTGACAGATATGATGCGACTGTTTTTGTCTCAATTTCATAGGTCTTTCCTATTGTACAAACTTCAAACTAGCAATGTTTGACAACGCATCAAAATTTCACAGCAGAATGGATTGAATCATTCTAGAAGTAATCCGCATCGTTTTTTCGTTCACTAAAATCAGTAATCAATTCCACGCTTGAAAGGGTGAGATAAAAATAGTTGGAAAAGGCTGAACTCCGATACGATTCTAAAGAATAAATGGAAGAAATTACGAAAAAAGACGATAGGAAAATTCGAAATTCTCACCTCCATTTTCATGGCGATCATGACAACCAACGTTTGCCCCTTGACGACTTGGTCCCCGGGTACAACTTCCACCCGATTTACAACTCCCGGCATTGGTGAATGTAATCCAGATGCACCTTCGTCGCTCACACCTTTCATACTTTCGAATTTCGGTGCGTCTTGCTTGAATTCAAATCTTCCTTCCTATAAACCGAGTGAGAAACGTGAAAAGTAAAAATGGAGATAACTCAATCACAAGACAGTACAGTACTATAGTTTGTAAGTCGTGCAGCGTTTCTGAACCATGTCCTGTTTTCTCTGATCCAAGCATTTTTAAATCAAGAGATATTCCAAGTAACCTGAAGTACGAGTAATACCCGATGAAGGGGTGTATTCGTCACAGCGGAAAATGAAGAATTTTACGGAAACTAATTCTGGTGTGGAGGAGCATTCAAGGTACGGTAATGCATTCCACAGATATTAGAGGTTCGAGTCCAGTGACACAGGGTATTTTTTTTACGTTGCTCCAAAAATTAATTTTTAAAAGAATTTTCTCACTCGCACTAAAACTAGAAAATTACAACATTCGAACCGGGCAATAATTTCATTGCCAAGAGAAATCAACTCTTGAGTTGATCGTCACACACATTTTTAATAATTCATCTCGTGCTTATTGAATTCAAATTGCGGAGGGTTTCCCAATAACAAATGCCAATCTGAAGCGGCAGCATCTCCGGAATTAAACGGAGTTATATAGAGGCAATCACATGGGGTTTCTCATCATTTGTGTTAGATGGTTTCTATACCACTGATCCTACATTTCGTCTTCAGTATCCCTCGCATTGCCCTTCGCTCTACAAGAATTCTTCAAAAACTTCAAATTCAATTATCCTACGAAAATAAATCGAAAGCAACTGACCAAGGTCAAAACGGAGGAAAATTTGGACTCACATCAGTGAAGATATTGAAGGATTCGTTCAGCGAACACAAGGAATCAAGTTGAGAAACCCCGTCGATTTCGCTGTGGACTTTTTGCCCACTTGGATCGAGATTGGCGCGAACATCGAATTCCTGTCGATTTCCAGAAGAGTCTTTAACGTTCACACGACAGTGAGCTTCAATCGAGTTTCCAGCAGACTTGAACGGAAGTCCTTCAATAGTTGCTTCGTATACGGTTTCTGAGTCGAATTAATAAAAAAAAATTAGTTTCATTTACTATGAAAAGCAAGAGAATCACGGAGAGAAAATCGTGGAGTAGGAGGAAGAATTCGGTGCAAAATATAGCATATCAAATGGAAGAACCAACTCTTTCATTATTCCCTTTTCTTTGTACTTCTCTCGTTGCTAATTTCTTGCAATTCTTTCGTTGTTCATTCTTTGTACTTCTTTCATAGTTCATTCTTTAGGAAGATTGATGCATTCATGTTCACGGGTTTTTCCGCTTCATCTCAGGATCAATTTTTCGCTCACCTCATGTTCTTCAAACGTTTTTTTTCTCTCGATCAGCGAAGAAACCCTAAATTTCGCAATTTGACTGTATGCACAATTTAAATAGGAAACGATTATGATATGATGCGATGGACATAGTGCTTCTGCATTGAACTCCCTAAAAAAGTATCGTACTGTTCTAGCTTTACTTAGCGGTCGCCGGGTTCCTCTTTTAAATAGAAGTCTAGAGGCCGAAAAGAGGTGAAGAAGCCGTCGTGCTCGCAAAAAAATTCCGACAACACCCTGCAACAGCAACGACGAAAAAATTAGTGCCTGAACGAATGAGCGATTAAAATTCGTTTATTGCAAATACATTTTTGGTAAATCTTGTACCCTGTACTTTTTGTGCAATTTCTTTTTTAGTTTTTTCAGTTGCATCGTTTCATTATACTGCACTTGTGATACAGTACAGTACACTTAAAAAAAAAGACATTTCAAGTGAGAAGCCTACATTCTAGAAGTGTAAAACATGTGCTTGACCTCTTGCCGAGCAGTTTAACCTGCAAATGCAAATCCGCTCTACTATTATTCATGCCCATCAAACGGTTCCAGCAGCTAGATGTTTTTTCTTATACTGTATATGCATTCTTTTTTTTACGTATATTTTGAACACCAATGCATAAACTTGCTCGGTTAATGAGATGCTCCAGGTGCGAGAATTTTAGGCCGCAAGGGTCACACACCGATTCCCGAACACCTCAGTTCTGCGGGAGTGTTCCTCGGATGCACGAAAGTTTTGTATTGCATAGATTCTCTTCGTGATATTGAATTCAGAGCGGATTTTACTCAAATAATTTGGTCGAATTGATTTCAATATTCGCGCAAAATTCCCGAATAGAAATGCTGTACGCGGTAATTTCAATTGTGATCGTTTGCGGCACATTTCCGACTGCGTTCGCAAATGATCCCGGTGAGGAAACATACGATCTACCATGTTTTAAACGTTTATATACATTTATTCACCTCGTCATGAAAGTACCGTAGAACAAATTCAACTGCGTGAAATTGAGAAGCCTTTTTCCAGTTTTTATTTGGAAATATCACGGTGCGTAAAATTTGTTCGCAAAAATTCAGATTCATCAACACAGCTTTTTTGCCTCTGCACCAAGTTTTTTTCATTAATGCTCGAAGGCGACAAAATCCAACCAACAAATATTGGGAAGTACTGTACAAAAAATATGCAGGAACGAAATCTCGCAATTTCGACGAACTGTAATTTGGATAATTTTTCCTGCGTGCCATCGAGGACCTCCTGCAGACCACGGAGTTGAAAAAACGCAAATTATTTACGTAATCGATAAATTTTGGCGGGGGAAAGTTCGAGTTATCGAGGTGTAACTTTCCGTTGAACCTCTTCAAGTTGAATTCCAAGACATCAACAAAAAATGCAACTTCGAAAGGTTTAATCGTTTAAAATTCAAGAAACTAAAATTGTTGCCTTAAATAAGTTGAAATTTGTGATCTTTTTCGGCACATAACTGCCTTATAAAAAAGCTAGAATTATTCCTTCACTTCCTTTCAAAAAGATCAAAAAGCACCAAGTTAAATTTCTATCGCTTTACCCTTTCGAGTTACGCTCGAATGGCAAATACTCAAACTTCTCAGAGGTTAAATATTTTTTTTTCAAATCCCCTTCAAAACAAATCATTGACAAGCATTCCCAACTCAAAGGATTTCCTCTTCAAATATCCGTAGCTCGAATTTTCTTGAGGCTTTTCGACTATAATTTCATTGATACAGGAAAGAGAAAATCAATAAAAATTGTCAAGATGCGTTTGAAAGGAAAATAAAGCCGTATCAAGAAAATAAACTTTTGCGTCCAAGTTCAGCATCTTGTCAACAAATTTAGGAAACAATCCAAGGCCTAGAATATCACCGTAATTCTTTCTTTTCCTCAACAGAAAACCTTTTTTCTCCACCTCGAAACCTCCCTGATTCGGTACATTTTTTCATTTTATTTTGCTGGTCCCTTGAAATTTGAATAAAATAGGTTCGATTGTGCAAAGGTTCAAATATTTTTTTTTTCTAAATTTGATAGTTGACCACCATCAGAAAATCGGATGGTTGATTTCCCCGCCCAACTTCAGTCCAACCACAGCAGCATGCTACCAAGCAGCAGCAGAAGTCGCCCACTCAACCTTCAGTTCCACCCACGACTTCATCCTCTCAGTCCCAGACGCAACTTCCGAACTCCAACACTTCAAATCCCTGTTCCAAACCGGGACCCGGAAATTCATAGGCCCGTCCCACATCGGCGAAGAATCAATAGTCGCCGAACTCGCGTCAAACCCTACACTGTATCAATCAGTCGAATTCTTTCCCCCACTTCCTCTGGGCAACGTTTCAGCGTTCGG